CTTATCAGCTCTGTCTAAAGCAAAGAATTACACGTTAAAGAATCACCTGCGGGTACATAACAAAATATAATTTAATACAGCAGCGTAGGGAGTGCTTTGAGATGACAGTAACATGATATTGATTGGCTGCACACTGAGAGCCTGTCTGTGCTCAGACCAGCAGGTAGTGGCTGTACAGTGGGAACTGGCTGTCATAAGGGATAACTAGAAAGCAGAGTAGTTTAATAATGCTGTTTTGAGATGTATGTGCTTCCTCAGGTTTTATATAACACCCTCACCCCTTAGCAAAATAGTTTTCCAGGTTTGAAAATGTGCAGTATACTTCTTTCTTTCTTCAGTTATAACTGCTTTAATCGTTGCCTGGCTTGTTCCCCCACAGTATTTAACCTGCTGCCCCGACTCGAGTAGCTGGGATAAAACTCAAGAGTCTCCACTTTCCCCTTAGTCTCTGAACTGTTATCTGTTGCAGTGAAAAGAAGAGTTTCTCTGCCTCTTCTAACTAGAGCTACAGTAGCTGTAACATTTAGATGTTCATTCAGAATGTCTGACTCTTTAGGCAAATGAGGCATGTGACTGTTTCAAGCTCAATTTAGGTGTGTGATAGCATGGTAGAGAAGATATAGGAATAGGCCATGCTTTGCCCCCTGATGGATGTGCTTGATCACAGTAAGGCAAGCTTTGATCTGTCCATAAACATTATAAATGATTTGTTTATTTCCTGTGAAAACATTAGCCCATCCAAGACATTATTGAATAACTGGACCTAAGCTAACATCTGTTATATCATTATTATGGACCAGTTTTGCATCGGGTACATCTGGTCCTATAAAAAGACCCCATAATTCCTGGTTGCTATGCAGTTGTGCAAAACAAACATTGGGCCAGACAACTCTCACCAGATGGACATGCAAACCATGACAGATGACCAACATGTTTAATGGTGGACAACAGACACTTCATGTTAAATGCACCATTGAGTCTTTATTCAAATTCAAAAGCTCTGATATGAAAAGAGGCTGAAAGAGGACCCTCCATCGAGATCTTCAGCATTTCTTTCCTTAGACTAAATTATCCTTCTTTGTGTGTCGACCTTGGATACAAGTGTGGCACAAACTGCTTTCTCTACAATACATGTTTTGCTCTAGGATGCTTGTCATGCAGTTGTGTTGACAGACACTGAAGTGGAAATAAATTATATACGGTGTACATTTGGAGGCCAAACTGTATTTTTCTGGCCGATGCATTAAGTTCATGTATAGTTCAAGTGCTTCCTCTACAGCTTTCAATAGAACTCAGTCTTTCAGACAGAACCTGAACTTTAAGCATCAAGTGAAGGATTTAAAACTCACACTCGCTGAACCTTTAAAATGAAAAAACATAAAACATAAGATTACATGTACTTAATTGTCTACAGGGGATTTCTTTTTCAGGTACAGTAAACACACAGCTACATTCAACCTATAACATAGCTCTTGCACTGTAATAAACTAAATATGTTTGCTAGAAAACCATTTATTGACAAAATATCTATTTCCCACCTTTCTGCTGTGTAATTGAAGGAATGTCTTAGCTTTAATATGAATTACTATGCTGCAAAGTTTTAATTGAAAACTGTGGCTATAATACAGACATTTATATGTTATAAATGTATTGAATGTGTTTAGAAGAAGCAAAGTGTTGCCATTAAAGGATTATGTGAATTCTGAGACCCTGATTTTGATAACAAGTAATACTTACTTAAATAACAGTGTTCAACCATCATTATGGCATTGTCGGTCAATCCACCACTTTAGTGCTGACTGAAATATCTGAAGGATATGACTGAATATATATTGAATGGATTGTAGACAAATGTTGTACACACATTTGTGTCACCCTCAGGAAGATCCCCTGAGACATATTATTTGGTGATCCCCTGACTTTCCCTCCAGTGCCATCATCACACAAAACCTTTTATTATCCACTTTGGTTAAGAATAAACAAACTAAGCCAGAGACATTCGTATCAGGCTGAGGCCTTGTTCACACTTATAATGGGTATTTTTGTAAACAGGGTTTTCTAATTGTTCTCAAAAAATCCTCACAAGGGTAATTAAAAAAAGAAACTCTGTCAAGATGAAAATCAATTGAAGTGATATCAATGCAAGTGGGCAGTTTGGGCCACACACCTTCAAAAATATTTATCGAGCCATTTCATTGGCCAATTGTATTTAGCCATTTGATTTGCCCATTTTATCAAGCTATTTTATGGGCCCATTTAACTAGGCCATTTCATAAGCCATTTAATTGGCCCATTGGATTGAGTCATGTACGAGGCAGAACACACATGGTGACATTTAGACTCTGCATATAAGCAAACAAAGTATAGGGAGCAGAGGGCAGCGCCTTGGGAGCACTATAGGGGTATGGCGCCCTTTGCAGTGCCAGTGAAGCAACATTTCATGCTCATAAAATGCACAATACCAACCACATACCAACTTTTCTGATCATCTATATGCCTAAGTACATCCTGAAAGAGGTGCTAGCATGGCTGAATTATTTGAAAAATGAGGTAAACCTGCAATAGGTATGAAGAAGAATACGATAAAAAGTGGCAAAATAATTGTTTTCCCAATCATATTTTAGCCGTGCTGTATATACTGTAGCTCTGTACTCGACTGGATTTACCCAAGGAAAAACATCCATGCAAATAAGCCAAGCTGAAATTGCTCTAGTGCGGTGGGTTATGGTGTGTCAGAGTAATAATCGTGTTGGAAGTATCCAAGAATCCATGAATACAAAAAAAGCACTTTCTTTGATTTCATGTGTGGTGGAAGTACAAAGATACCCACTGTTTGAAATTTCAATATCTAAGAACTTGTCAATTTGGTGTAATTCGTCTCATTAACTACAGTCACAGGCATTATATTCCCGCCAAGGGGTGCACACTCTACTAATATTAAGTCTCTTATTACACACATTTCCATTCAATATAATGGCAGTGTGGCGGAGAGATGCCCTGAAACACCCCTTCACAACGTTTTTTGTTGATTTGACCTGTGTTTAATTTTGCATTTCAAGGGCACTTTGTTTTTCCTTTCAATATGAATTCCACATACAAGAATATTGTTCCTTAAATTATCTGCTAGAAAAAAAAAAAGGAAATGGAGACCATTATTTTTCTTCTTGATGAGATGAAGAGAGCTTAACATACCCATTATATTATTTAGGTTGTGTGCTTACCTTGTTCTTTAATATAAAAAAAGGCTATAAAGGATACTAAAGTCATTCATCAAAATGCAGATCAAATCATAAATCAAAGCAATTGACTGTGTATTAATCATTTTGCTCCTGTTTCCTATTTAGAAACACCACTTGACTCGTCCCCTTATTGTAAGGACTTTAAAGTGACCTCATTCCATCACATTTACAAAGCTTAAAAGAAACACTTGAAACACGCTGCAGCATTGTCAATTCTGGTAAAAATTAGGAATATTTTTTGCCCTGTAAATAAATGCTTTGCTCGCAAAACTTCTATTGAAAAATGCTGATGAGGTGACTTGAATGAGGATCTATGGTGTGTGTTTGTGTATGTGTCACCAGTAACCTTGAAGGTGTAAAAAATGTATAGAAATGTTGTTTATGGTCACACAAGGTACGCTGAAGATGACTAGTTTTACAGAGAGGTTTGTGCTAGACAAACATAATGTGAACAGTCCTCCAGTCTCCACCTACACTTGGTTAGAATACAATTACAGAAACATACTTCCCAAAACGATTTTTTTCAGAAGTTGAAATGTTGTTTTTTATTAAACTATCTCAACAACAATTGAATAACTTGCATGGACATTTGGTAAACACATTCATGGTCCCCAGAAGTGAATTGCAATAATTTTTGTATCCCCTTACATCATCTGCATCATCTAGGTAAATTATAATTTTACCAATGCTCTATGACCACATAAAAAGTGTGTTTATTTTTTATCACAAATGTATCAGAGTCAGATTGGGCTTTTAAGGGAGGGGGGCTTAAAGGTGGGGTAGGTAATTTTGGAGAAACCAGCTCGAGTGTGCTAGAATTTGAAAATACACAGCCGGAAGAAATCTGCTACTTCCTTACAGAGCCCCTCCTCCAACACACACGAACGCACACATGACCAATGAGGGCATGAGATAAATGTGTGCACAGATGGAAGGCTGACAGGCAGGTAGGCCATCCAGTTGTTTTAGCCGGGCCGGCTAAAATGATTGGTCGTACTTTTTACAGTACTACGGCTTCCACAGATGAATTTCTTTATGGATTTTTTGTCAAAGCACTTAAGATATTCATTGCTATCGGGATGTTAAGAGCATTCCATGGAATATAACAAAAAGTGTATCTCGAGCCGGTTCTCAAACTTACCTACCCCACCTTTAAATGGAGGATTTCAGACAGAAGGTGAATAATCTTCAGACAGTATAGGGGAAAAATCATGTGTTTTTTTATATTAAAGCATGTCAACATATTCTAATAGAAACCCAATATATGTACGAACCAGGAAATGAGGATAATATGTCCCCTTTAAGAACAGCCTCACAGACCCGCTAGCACACTCTATCATGTGTGTATTGGTTTGTTGTCAAGGCCAGGTACAACCTCCAATCCTAGCTTATTAAAAATAATGAATTTGTTAATCTTTCTGATATAACTTGAGAGAAAAAGAATACACACATGGATGAAAAATCCTGTGGATCTGCCGATGGATCACATCTAAACAGGCATACACAAAGAGCCATATTCCTTATATAAGACAGCGGTTTCATATCAACAGTATGCTCTGAAGCTGCCTTCATACTGCTGCTTTGTTAGAGAATTATTCATCTCTCACTCTATTCCTGGGAGGATGTTGTTGACAGCATCTCATCTCACTGTCTGAGTACAACTGGTTTCCATTAGGGCAGGGATTGCAATATGATGTCTTTGTGGGAGATTCAACAGTCGCACTACATTTTAAAAGCTCCGAAAGCAGAAGTGATACTGAGGCAAGAAAGGAAACATTTATTGTTTATGAATGTGGTGTCACACAGGTCCTGTCAGAAAATAACAGGGAAGTGAGGTCTTGGTTTGAGGTCTTTGAAATAATCCTCTCCTCTTTTCTTTCAACAGACAACTGAACTTTGAAACTGTTCCACATCTGCACATTCGTGTAAAAGCGATACATTGCAATTGCAAAAGACAGTCTAACATTCCACATGACAACTAGGTTTTACATTTGTGATGCCCACTGTAGTTTATATTGTTATAAAAATGTACAGAATAACATTTTTGTGTCTCAGTGCAAAAGATATATTTCAAAAGAATTCCAGAAAAGCCGTGCCCTTGATAAATGACCCCCCACTTCTCCCCTGATCTGTGCCCCCAACAGTACAATAACTGGCCTGTTCACAAGACCACCAATAAATAACCAACAGAAGCAGTTTTACAGTCACCGTCAGATAGCAGCAGTGTTTCAGCTTTGACTTTAAATACATATTCACAAACAACAGTGTGTCACTGTACACCCACAATTCATCAGAACAACTCTAACTATAGATAATAATAATTACAGTTGTATTGATAGTAATAACCATAACAATTACAACCAAAAAAAGAAATCCAATGTGTCACATCTGCATTACAATATTTACATTGCTTTTTCAAGTTCTGTGGCTTAATTTCCGTCTGTGAATTTCCCAAGTAAAAGAAGGCAATGAAGTGTCTCTAAGGTAAAAGGCTGGGAGTGGGGAGTTTATCAGCTGGTGCAGATGCTGTTGATGGAGATGATGGCGGGGTCCACCAGACCCAGCTCCTCGTGCTCATTAACGCACAGCTGATAGCCGCAGCCTCGCCTACGCTTCAGCGGGGTCACCTTGGCGTCAGGCTTGGCGCGAGGCGGGAGAAGGAAGCCCACGCTCCCTGCGATCAGCATGTGCCAGATGCTGTGGATGTAGAAGTAGTTCTCCTCTGTCTCCACAAAGGCGTAGAGGGCCACGGCGGAGGTGGCGATCATGGTGCCCGGGAACAGGAAGAACACCCAGCGCTTCCAGGTGGGCGGGTAGCAACGCCGCCGACGGATGGTGCGCACCGTCTGACAGACACACACATAAAACAATGTTTTAGGACCTGTTATTCATCAAATCTGAAGTTGCAAATGGTAATCTATTTGAGCTATGAAATTACACTGACAAAGAGCATAATAATAGAGAAGTAGAAGTGGAGTTGGTTGAATTTAGGTTTTCTAAGGTGGGGTAGGTAAGTTTGAGAAACCGGCTCAAGATACACTTTTTGTTATATTCCATGGAATGCTCTTAACATCCCGATAGCAATGAATATCTTAAGTGCTTTGACAAAAAATCCATTAAAAAATGTCATCTGTGGAAGCCGTAATACTGTAAAAAGCACGACCAATTATTTTAGCCGGCCCGGCTAAAATAACTGGATGGCCTACCTGCCTGTCAGCCTTCCATCTGTGCACAAACTTATCTCGTGCCCTCATTGGTCATGTGCGCGTCCGTGTGTGTTGGAGGAGGAGCTCTGTAAGCAAGTGGCAGATTTTTTCCGGTTGTGTATTTTCAAATTCTAGCGATCTCGAGCCGGTTTCTCAAACTTACCTACCCCACCTTTAATTGACTTTAGTTCCAATGTTAGTAACATCATGAAACTCTGTTGAACAACATTGACAGGGCTTTTCATTCTTTCTTCTTTCCATTTGTTCATTTCAAAGCACACTTGTCATCACATTTTAGCAAGAAGAGTCATTTCCAGGAAATAACTGCACAATGCCAAAAAACTTCAAATACTGAGATCTATTGGTTTACCCATGAAAATATTTTCCCAATATATGTTCCCAATTCTTTAACTACCTGTAACAACCGCATAGAACCAGAAAGAAAATGTGTTTTTGTATTTATGATCAGAGAGCCAGTTCATTACTGATTGAAAAGGGGGTTATGCTCCTCTGGGCTTTACGTTGCACAGGTAAATGAGAGTATAACAAACGTGTCCACCACGAAACAGTGTCGCCTTTAAAGTAATGTATAGTAAAACTGGACATTTAAAGTGCCAGTCAACATTATGTTGTTGAGATTTGGTCAATGTGCACAAAAAGCAAAAATTGAGTTTAAGACATTGTAAAAAAATCTCCAATTCTAAAGTCCTTTCAAAGACAATTTGTAAGAAACAACATCTGCTATACATTTATTTCCATAAAATGATTCGGAAACTAAGGCACCCATAAAGTTTATTGCTCACTGGTCACCATGTTTCATCTTCCTCCTTCCTTGATTTAATGAACACATTTCATGTCAAAACAGGTTATTGAAGTGGGAGATCACACATGGCACAGACATTAAAAAATGGAGACCAATGGGATGTGAGTGATGGAGCACCAGGCAGTTTACTTTGAATGGAGGAACAGAGGGTCGGATTTTTCATAAATCTCTGCTTTATTGCCTGAAATGAGCATTCATGACTCCTGCTGCAGCCTAGTGCATCACAAGGATCATAACCAGAGGGAGAGGCTTTCAATTGGTCATCAGCAATTGGGCCGTCGAAGCTTTTGCTATATTTTTTATTTATAAATATATTTATTCTTGGCACTAACTGTATACGATTTCTCTATTTGTATAAAACAGAACATTTACTCAATCTTTGCTGAACATGTGGCACAGAGAGACGTGCATTTAGTTTCTTTCTAAACAGCGTTTAGAGAATGCTTCATTATTGATTTCAGACTCTATTTTCATCGGCTCATAAACACTGATTGCTTGCATTAGATTGTTTTAGCAGTAAGAATCCGGACATTGCCAAGTAAGTGGTTCATGAAAGACACAAATGATGACATGTATTCTGGCAGTAATATGGCTCTAATTGACTATATAATGACTTGATTATTATGAATGCATTTGATTTCATTGCTAATAATCGATGTTAAGCAAATTCAATGAACTCGGTCCCTTAGAAACTGCATTATTTTTTGGTTAAAACAAAAAAATGAGACCAAGATGGTCTTGTCATGTATAAAAGTCAGGGACCTCGTTTAGTTTGAGTTAGGGATTTTTGGCATTGACAGATTTGAACTTCTCCCCTCCTTCTTACTGCTCATGAAGCGTCTGCAGAGCTGAGCAGCAGACGCTTGGTGCCCTTCACTTGACTGATCTAATTCGGTTGTGTCTGGGAACATTCAGAATGCCAGGCTTTGCAAAAACATGACAAGTTGAAATGAAAGGGCTCTTGTAGAAAATGTGCAGCACTCAAACTGAGGGATTGAGGAGGCGGTGCTGAAATGCAGACTATTGAACTGTTGATAAATTATGAAGTGGTGGGTAATCAAAGCTCGAGCAAGCGTTACTTTAAAAATGAAAACAGTAGCATAACTTGCATTTTATGTTTTAAGTTGCTGTGTTTATTTACATACTGTGGTTAGGAGTAGGTCATCGTCGTATGAAGATAAATACTCTGTTTGAGACTTTATTCTACTGTTTTCTTTTTTTCATAAAAGTATTGTTTTTGCATTTAGTCCTTTATTTGATAATGAAAGTAACAGTAAACCAGAACATGATGTTTACATTTGTCAAATAACATATGTCAACAAGCTCTCTACAAATATGCTAGAGCTTATAAGGGAAAAGAGCAACATAGTTGAAGCTTTATGTAAACTCCAAACACACTCACATTTGAATGATAAACTAGTGCCCTGCATGAATCCTGAAGCACTGCTGTTAATCTAAATCCAAATCATCTCTATGGTAAAATATATTGTGTCCTTAAACTGGATGATTTACACGTAGGAATTGTAATATTACTTTATCTCCCACAGTTTGTGTAGGATCCTGCAGCTCATATAAAGATCATTCACTGTGCTACAACTCCCACACTGTATTCAGAGCAAAGCTTTCTCCAAGGAAACCACAAACCTTGTTTTCAAACTCATGTTAGAGGGTTTGGTGTTAAAGGCTTTTTTCCAAGAACCTTGCCTGAAAGACTATTATTTTTTATCTTTTCAGTTCAGGGAGCACATTATGACTCGGAGAAGAGTCAGTGGAAGTACAAGCTGACTTATAATGAAACTATAACCCATGACTAATACCCACAGGCTGCAAAACTTTTAAAGCCCCTTCCATACTAATGTAAAATAGCTTCACTGGTCAGAAACACACCGTTTTTAGCCATGCACATGTTCCAGCACTAATCTTAAATGATGTATTAAATCCTTTTACACTTACTAGCATGAGGAACAATAGATGAACAGCGCTGACACATTTCATCTGCATGTTTCAACAAGCTTGTCTACGAATGTCAAACACACTTTGTGTATTAAAATGAATCATCTTTCATCCCTTGTAGACCACACGCTGTAAGTAGTAACATTTTCTAAGAGGAAATTCTGTCTTTACCTCGAGAAGATTAAGAAGCCTATATTTATAATTTTGTCATACAAGATCATACTGTGTGTTACAAATAGTAACACCTTTATTAAATGCCTTTATTATTGGTATATTCCAATGAACTGGTTAAACTTGGAATGGTTCATTTTTGCAATTATATCGTTTTGAAATGCAGATGAACTCAATATGGAATACATCAGCTTTTAGCTCTGGTCTTCTTGTCTACAGTAGTTTTCTACTATGCAGTAAATACAAGAGTAGTCCTTACCCATGCCACGGCCATGATGCCCAGGGCAAACAGGCTGGGTCCCAGCAGATTCCACAGACCGTGACGGTCTAGCTGCAGAGCCATAGACAGAGACATCGCCCCCAGCAGATACAGCACCTTGACAAAAAACACATGGATCAATAACAGCCCTCCATAAACTCCACTGACACTGTTACTGCCTCAGTAAATAACAGGATAGTTGTGTGTTCAGGACACAACACATCAGTGGTTTTGGCGAGAGTAAAACTGTCACAAATGTAATTTCCTCCTGACATTGTATAAAAATGGCGACAAAACCTTCGAAGTCTTTTAGAAATGATTGACGGTTACTAAAACACCTGGACACGATTTTCAGTTACTAAATGTGGAACTACATTTTCTTTCTTTCTTTCTGCACCTGTGTCCTGTTTTTCGGATGCGAGTTCCACTTTTTTTTAACACAGCTGCTACATTCATGGAGGTCCATTGTAGCTGTAACTGTGTTGCTACAGAAAAGCTGGAATGTAGCACAAACGGGCCGGGAAAATGCCTTGTGTGTGTAAGTCAATTAGTAAGAAATGGAAAACTACAGTAAAGGAGAATTCAAATAGCTTGACATATTCCATTTTTTCTCTATTATCAACTAATAAATAAATAATAAATTACATACATTTATTTAGCGCCTTTCATATACCCAAGGACGCTTTACAGAGGCAAACACAAAACACACTCCAGGTACATTGGGACTACAGAGAAGATAAGATAAGACAAGATAAAAAGTACTTTATTGATCCCAATTTGGGAAATGTTTGCATTGCAGCATAAAAAGCATAAAAAGACAAGGCATTGGAGAAATTAAAAGACTAGAAATAAACAATCCAAAATGTAAATGTCTCAAATAGAAGAAAACAGACAAGGAGACATACGGCAGATGAGGCGTAGTGTGGCGTTGTCTGTGAGTGCAGGGGGATGAGTAACTAAGGTTGGAAGGCTATTTTAGACAGATGAGTTTTCAGGGTATATTTGAAGATGTCTAGAGAAGGGGCGTTACGGATTTCAGCAGGGAGGGAGTCCTAGAAGGTTTGGGTAGCAACACTGATGCACCATCCCTAAAAAGTGCGGAGACAGGAAAGGGCAATTGACAGTATGCCAGAGTCTGAGGATCGCACAGTACGTAATCCCTCCCTGAAATAACCAACACCAATAATTTGATCCTATTAATTAAAGTTAAAACATTTTAGGTGCTGTTTGTGTTGTCAGAGCTTGATAAAGCGTATTCTTATGACTCAATCTCATATACAGTGTGGCATGCAGTTGATTTATTAACTCCCGTTCAATTCAAAACTGCAGTGCAGTATGTTTTAAGCCTTTTTTTGTCCTCGTAATAACACAATATATTTGGTATCCATTGATAAAGAAAACATCCCAACCATATCCTGTAATGTTAACAGCTTCTACAAGACCAGGCTTTTCACAAATGTGTAAAAGTAAAGTTAAAAGCCTGCTATTAAGTAAGCGTGTCATCAGTGCATACAATAACAGAGCTCCGATTAAGTGTTTGCAGAACGATACACCAACTGAACTTTATTTAATGACTGAGAGCCCCAGTAATACAAAATAAAAAAAAACACTTGCAAAAGAAGTCCATGCTATAAATATTGCCAGTTTAACTTTTTTGGTCAAGCTCACAATTTGACATAAAGCCACAGGATATGAAAGAAATAAAGTGAGAGGGAAAAAAATCAATAAACTGGGCTGCACAGCTTTGGGAGAACTTAAGCCTGTGCAGGATGCCTGAGGTCTGCTTTCTTCTGTCTGGAAGGGCACGTGAGGAGGAATTGGGGATTTTGGAGACGGAAAGGGAAGACCTGTGCTGCAGGAGAGCAGGAATAATTGGCACAGACGGAGAAGGAGAGGAGCAGCGTGGAGCAGCCCGAGGACTCTGGGCAGCACGAGTCATCAGTCATACTGCACCATGGATCAGACAGGGGCGCCATAACATGCATGTATACAGTACATGTATTGTATGCAGGCTTGAGGTTTAGCTGTAATGAATTATTATCTGTAGCTGTGACAGACAAGCCTTCGGGAATCCTAGTACAAAGTCTATTTCTGTCTGCCACATATATTTTCATGCTTACTTATATGCAGTAATAAAGACAGTATACATATGGATTACAACATGTCCAATGCCAGTGCCTCAATATATTGTGTTACATGGACCATGCTTAGCAAAGAAAAGGGCAAATTAATTTTGGGAACACTAAGATAGTGAAGAGCATATGGGAGACAGCAAGGTTGAATGGCACAGGTATCTTTTCAGAATTGACCTAGCATTACTGAGATCAAATGGGCCGCTGTTGAATGAGTCATACAGCGGCCTGGTATTAATCTCCTAATAGAAGCCAATAATACTGTACACCCTCTTAATTACGAAAAGCTTTAATCTAATTTCATAGTCAATTGATACATTTATGACCTTGTCTTCACCATCTCTTCCCCATAATAAAAATAAACATGTAATAATAGCAAGACATTGTGTTTCTGTATTGTTACATGAGCTAACTTGAAAGAGAAAACAAAAAATAACATCAACACCTAAAATAGCATGATTCCCGCAACTGTGCTTGCAAAGGTATTTTTCTTGGCAACATCTTTCAGCTGTGTTTACTTCGGTTTAACCTCAAGTGGTTAAAAAAGTCTGTCTTAAATGTTTTGATTGTCTGAACACTATTGTTTTATGGTTTTACCCAGATCTCAGCAATAACTTTGGTGAGGACAAGGTACCATAACCGCTCAATAAAAGAGGGCCCAAACAGACAAAGATTAGATGAAAATGATATTAAACATAATTATCCTTTTTGATTTATATGATTCTGAGGCAATGACCTTCAGCAAATTAAGATAAAACAATTCTACTGAAGACAAAATGTCGTTGTTAGATATTCTGCTGACATAATTGTGATGACTTTTCAACCTTTGGAGGTCTAAAAGCCACATACAAACAAAACACTGTTAGGTGCTCCTGGGTCCTTTGCCCTCTACTGCTGTCATGGACACAAACAAACAAATCAACACGCACATACACAGACAACAAACAAACACACACACACACACACACACACACACACACACACACACACACACACACACACACACACACACACACACACACACACACACACACACACACACACACACACACACACACACACACACACACACACACACACACACACACACACACACAGTCTCCATCTATTACACAAACACACAGCTCCACTTGCCAGTCCTGACATGTGCGATTTGATTAGTGACTGCATACTGCAGTGCTCAGCAAAAAATGAAAACTCTAGAGGACAGCAGATGTTTGTATACTCTCCCTCCCTCCCTTACTCCGCCCCCTCTACCCCTCCCTCTGTCTCATTTCTGGACATGTACACACACACACACACACACACACACACACACACACACACACACACACACACACACACACACACACACACACACACACACACACACACACACACACACACACACACAACACACACACACACACACACACACACACACACACACACACACACACACACACACACACACACACACACACACACACACACACACTTTCCCTGTGACTGCTCTCCATCTTGGTGGGCAGCCAGGGAGCGACATAGGGAAAAGGTGCACCTGTTAGTGTTTACTGTTATCCACCGCAATATGTCAACAACCGGAGAATTTAGCACCAGGCATTGCTGATTCTAACACATTGATCTTCTGATTAATAACTACACATTTGGGCATATGTGGTACTCAATTAATTTGTTCTCCTTCACAGCTCTACTTGTGCATCCTCTAATCCCTGTTTGCTTCATAGTTGTCGACTGCTAATGTTGACCTCTCTGTCATAATAAACGCATGACAGTGGACAGGCATGGTCTATTGATGTCTAATTCTTGATGTCTGCACAACTTATATTTCAAGCAAATCTAACAAGTCTTGAGTTTCTGTTTAGAAAGGCTATAACTCTGTTTAGAGACACAATGTGGGTTTTTTGTAGGTGGATCTTAAGGTGGGAGGTTATCTGCTGACTCCTACACTTTAATGACCTTATCCACTTGAATTCTGGGCATGTTATGTACAGTAGTGAACTCAACTGCCTTGGAAACAAAAGTGGCCATTTGAACCTATTTTTTATTTTTTTAAACTTCATATTATTGCTTTTTGACTAACCTTATACAGTTATGTGAAATCTGTTGACATAATACATTTAATTATAGTCAAAATGTCACTTTTTTCCTATCCATTATATCACTTGACTTCCCTTTAAGTACCTACAGTAGGTGCCTACCTGTTTGATGATGGACTTTAGCCTGGCCATCGCAATGACAGTGACCCACACTGACATCAGCGAGCCGAGGAAGTCACAGAACTGCAGCACGTCGTACTCCATGATGCAGAAGACCACAATACCCGGCTGATCACACGCATGGTAGAACTGTCAGAGGAGAGGGAGAAGGCAGTGAGTGGTTATACACACAAGAAGATGTGACAGAAACAATACATCAGGAATTGGATTAGTAAAGTTATTTATTATGAAATGATTCCATAACAAGAGCTGACATGTACATTATTGTATGAAGAGCTGAATTCTATGCTTTGGTTGTTGCCTTCGCTAGACTATCTTCATGTGGTGAGCCTTTTTAATTTGGCCTTGATTTAGATCTAAAATTGTTATTTTAACCACCACTGTCACATGCTAATAACTTTCTGGGAACACGTGAATTTGTGTTTGTACATGCTTTAATAGTTTCTAAAATAATATATACAACTCGTGTTTCTTTAACAAAGTGATAGTAAATTACTGTCTTTCTTAACTTGTATTTTCAACCAAAACATTTCAAGCAGGCGTCTGGTTGGTATGAATGAAGCCACACAAATATGTTAAGTACATACATTATCTATCCTCACTAAACATTTACAAAGCATATACCGGTTTGTTATATTTTAAAAAGTCTAATGTTTGCAGCCATGTGTTGTAGTTTGCAGTCTACTGACAGATATCAAGATGAGTTTTTCCATGCAAAATAAACCAATAATGCATCTTTCCTACTGTTTGTGCTATTATTAGACCCAAACATTTTTGTAGGTCTACTTTTTTATTATTAGTGGATGGAACATGCACCACTGTGTTTGTGTGACAGTCACTCACAGTGGAAAAGAACATGGTGAAGATGTAGACTGAAGCCTCCAGCAGGTAGTGGCTCCGGATGGCGATGGCCACCGGCGGGACAAACATCAGGTTACTGAGGCAGAGCAGCAGGGTGGAGAGGAGCTGGAAGCTGTAGGAGTAAGCCTCCGAGTTGTCTGTGCATCCCCAGCCCTCCCAACCTAACACACAGACACACAGTCAGTACTACACTGTATGATGATCTGAGAAACTAGACATCTAGTTTTAACGCTTTAACGCTTTAATTTTTTTAACGCTGCTGTGTAGACGCACCGTTAAGAGAGAAGAAAGCTTTTGTGTTCCCAGGCTTTTTAAGGTTGGAAAAGAGAAACTGGAGTTAAAATGGTTTCTGACTTCCCAAAAACTGTGAATAGACTTTAAGAAAGTTTTCTTGAAGCTTTATCCCTTTAGAATTTTAAGTATTTTTTAAAATGTTTAAAAGATGTATCTTTTGACAAGATGAACGCTCCATGGGCCCTTGTAAAAAAAGAAATCTCTGTGAAAAACAATCAAAACAGATAAATGAGAGGTTGTTTATTTTCGAAACAAGTCTCCTGGTGTGAACTCATCTAGAGAAAAAACACCCCTGCTCTGCTTCTTTAATTCAATCTTCAGAAATGGCTGGATTAGATACGACAGTGTGAATTAAATATTTGTGAGCACTGTTGAACGGAGAGTTTGCAGTGTGAGACGGGCCAAGGGCAAGTGCTGAATGCAAAGCGCCTGCCATGAAGCAGTCACACATATGAAGTATGACAATGAATTGAACTGAAGAGAAAGCAGCTCTGATAAAAGAACATCAAAGGCAGGATTTTTTTTAAAGCCCCAGAGGATGCGCTTTGTTTAGTTTCATAAGCTCATCTTTTATTGAAAAGCTGTTCGTAATTAAGAGGGTGTATTATTGGCTTATATTAGAAGATTAATACCAGGCCGCTGTATGACTCATTCAACAGCGGCACTTTGATCACAGTATTGCTAGGTCAATTCTGAAAAGATACCTGTCCCATTTAACCTCGCTGTCTCCCATTCGCTTGTCACACTGCATGATGTATGTTCAAACTAATTAAAAATTATTTGCAGCAGTGATGACCTAATTCCCTTACATAAAGTCATATCTTATCTTGTATGCAAAAAAGCTTTTGACTGCTGAAAATCACTTTCACTTATTAATTCATGGTCACGCTTTTTGCTGATAATTAATAAGTGATTAATAATGAAAGACAACGTAGAGAACATACACCAAATTTGTACAACTATTCATCGACTTCTATCAAACAACTTGCTATGCTTTGTTGGTAACCGGCTTCCATAACTGGGCTTAGTAAATGCAAATAGAATTTCAAAAAGCGTACATTGAAATAGAATCAAAGATGACATAAATAGACCACCTAATCTGAATTCAGTGCACATTCAAAGTGTGCACAGAATCAAATCAGTAGAGAAGGAGAAAACAAGCTCTCTATGTGAGCCTGAAGAATACACTGAACATGATGTACAGATTGTATAGGGAAGTTCTTACCTGCTTTGCATTCACAGGCAGCATAAAGATAGTTGTTTGTGCGTAGAAGCTTGCACTGTCCATACGTCCCACAGTCATTGATGCATGGAGTCAGGTATGCGCGCATATACACCTCAGCGGTGACATTGGGGCATGCTTCAAATCTGAAAGAGTCAGAGACAGGCAGAAAGTTAGTTGGAGGTGAAGAAGACGAACATCACTGCAGCACCACAGGGGAATATACGTACCGTTTTCTATCAGTGTGAAGGTAGAAAGGTGCTACTGTTTCACCTTTAAAAGGATTTCAAATGACATTTTCTGCTCTCAAGATAGCCTTTCTTATTTGTGGTCAGTTGATGTGGCCAAGCTAGAGGCATGGAACTGGAGATGGCAATGTCAGTCTGTCTTTCACGATTAAATGGATATCCATGAAATGTTCATCCTGTTCCCCAAATGATGAATCCTCATGACTTTGGAGACCCCTTGACTTTTCTTCTAATGCCACCATGAGGTTCACAGTTGTGGTTTAGAGTGAGATGTCTCAACAACTATTGGAAATACTGCCAATACATGTGGTTATAACATCATGTACCCATCAGGATGAATGCTAACAATTGTAGTAGCCATGGCATGATTTAGAAATGTCCAGATATTCCAGATTTACAATGTTATCCTGATAATCTTTGATACATGCTTAAAACTCCTAAATGGCACATAAACATACTAGAATCAATTGAGCTTTAATTTATTAAGCAACTGGTTTTGTTTCATCGCTAGTAAACACTTCCAATTTGTAACAATGATTTTTTTTGAGGAAATAAATAAACAATTAAATCAGCATTGGCTAAATACAGAGCATCGTCATCGGGTCAACAATTGGGTAAAATACTTATGTTTATTTGAGTCTCAAGTGTATTTGGGTTTAGTGCTAATCAAGAAATGTTGCTAAATTAAGATGGTAAACATAGATATAATTTTTCTTGCTTAATAACAGCATTGTGATTGTGAGCATGTTAGTATGCTGACATGGACATTCACTCAACACATTGCCAGACTAGTGAGTCAGTGCGTCTCTCTTGTTGTTTTATGAGGTCCAGCACTATGTTGGATATCAACACAAAGTCATTTTAGGGTAATAGGTCCGACAACGTTACTCTGTTATGCTTGTGCAATCACCAGAAGCAATAACAGTAGGGATTTCACACAAATTATGTCTGTCCTTGTTGTAGACCAACAAGGAAGCTCTATTGTGATGGTTTGACCTTCATTATGTATCTCTAATATGTATCCTAGAACTTTCCACAACACTATACCTTCTAAAGTAAAGAATGATATTTTATAAGCCAACATCTTTTTTTGTATTTCTTAAGAACAATTTTAATCCTCATTGTTTTTATTTTGTTACATGTATGTCTCGCGGCATTTCGTGTTATAGTCACGACATTTATTCTATTGATTCGTGTTCACCAACACGATTTTCCCATTTTTTCCGTGTCACACAGAACGATTTTAAAAGCAATGTATGTATATGTATATTGGTAGTATGTTTTGTGCCTGCAACACGTCTTTTTGTCCGGTCGGGTCTTGGAAGACCGGAAGCTGTGTGGTTCATAAAAACATGTTCTTACTCAATATCAAGCCACGATTATTGTTTTTAATTTTAAATCGTATAATGTCTGACTTTTCTTGCCGTCAGTGAGGAAAAGAAATGGGGCTCAGAGCCTCAGAATACTGAAATCTGTATTTTTTAAATCTTTTTTTCCTTCTAATTTGTTATTCTTTTCTAAATAACACACTGTTATTTACTCAACAATAACACACAATTATCCTTGTTTTTATTTATTTGTTTAATTCTATAATCTCTGGCTTTTTTGGCGCCCGTCAGGAACTGAATTTCAAAATAAAATAACCGGAAACAGGATCACACCCACTGAACTGATTACCCAAGATCCTCAGCTATGGTTTAAGCTCGGTGATTGGATGCTTTAGCCGCAATGCACGTTGGGATATGGTGTTAATGCGATATGAAATCCGAAAAACATTTTTAAAGAGTGTGCTTGCTTTTTTCTTTGGAAGTCATCACATAACGGCATTGTAATACACGGTTTGGCTGCATTAAATATTACACATCTGCCGTAGTTATTTATTTAGAGCCCAGATTAGAAGACCTTTGGACAAACTGGAAGAACTGCCACCGAAACTGAATACGTGACGTGGATCATAAATATATCAGCAATTAAATAACATCTTCAATTTCTCTTCACACAATACGTCTCCTTGCAGTATCAACACTAATTCGGCTGACTTTTATATTTGATACTTGAAAGGGATGTGCAAAATAGCAACAGCTGTCATGTGGGTATATATTAATGCTGCCCATTATGGACACAAGCAATTTTCACCCATTTATTAATTATATGTTTTAAATTTGATAGCACCAATGGGTTTAATACTGGCAACTTGTAATTGTGGGAAAAACAAAAACGTTTGCAGTAGAGACGTCCCATAGAACATTTTGCGAAACACAATAGCCAGCATGTGTAGTTCTGGGGGGGGGGGGGGTCCCGTTCGAGTCCAGTCTGCCACAGTCTGCCGTGGTTTCGTTCCATTTCAAAGTGCTGTTTGACGCTCGCCGTAACCTTGGCGCACTGCCACTCCAACATCCAATCCCAGAGCTTGAAGATTAATCACGGGGTTTGTCAAGCAAAGGGACTGTAGTCCCAAACAATAGCTGAGGATTATGGGTAGTGTAGTGTCTTCGGCCATCCTAAACTCCAAAATGTTTTTTGGATTTCATATCGCATTAACACCATATCCCAACGTGCATTGCGGCTAAAACATCCAATCACCGAGCTTAAACCATAGCTGAGGATCTTGGGTAATCAGTTCAGTGGGTGTGTATAGAGAGGCGAAGTCCCTCCCTTTCCGGGGGAGCTCCATGGGACCTTATTTCGGAAAAAGTATGTATTGAAGTCAATGGGGAGAGAAAGATTATCTTTCGATCCCGTTTGAATTGAGCCACGAATATATGATGTTTGTCAATTTAAATGATAATTTTTCAAGTCAAAAAAGTAAAAATGTGTCGTAAAACTGTGAAGTAACACTTTTTTTTGTGTGAACCGCTCAATGAACTACATCTCCCGTCTCGCACCACACACCAAGACGGCCGTCACGTTGGCACATTTCACTTCTTTCTTTCAGAATGAGGCGAAAAGTATTAAAAGAGGTGAAAATCACTACAAGTCTGGGCATGTTGAGAGCTGTACATACACAAAAGGGGAGTTAGTCGGTTCCGTAAGAGCCAGCATGCGGGACCGGGATTCTGGGATTTGTAGTCTTTCTAGTTGCGTATTTTTCATAGTCTTATATTTCAACAGTTTTACGACAAACTGTGACTTTTTTTACATGGAAATTATTTGTTAAGATTGACAAACATCATATGTGTAATTCGTGGCACAATTCAAACGGGATCGAAAGATAATCTTTCTCTCCCCATTGACTTCAATACATATTTTTTCCGAAATAAGGTCCCATGGGTCGGAAGTAGATGGGCGGGACTTCGCCTCTCTATCGCAATGATGCTCGAAATGTCCCATATAGGCCTACGTCTGTTTCCTGTTACTTTATTTTGAAATTCAGTTCCTGACGGACGGCAAAAAAGCCAGAGATTATAGAATCAAACAAATAAATAAAAACAAGGATAATTGTGTGTTATTGTTGAGTAAATAACAGTGTGTTATTTAGAAAAGAATAACAAATTAGAAGGAAAAAAAGATTAAAAAAAATACAGATTTCTCTGAGCCCCATTTATTTTCCTCACGGACGGCAAAAAAAGTCCGACATTATACGATTTAAAATAAAAACAATAATCGTGGCTTGATATTGAGTAAGAATATGTTTTTATGAACTCCACAGCTTCCGATCTTCCAAGACCCGACCGGACAAAAAGACGTGTTGCAGGCACGAAACACACTACCAATAGAAATACATTGCTTTTAAAATCGTTCTGGGTGACACGAAAAAAATGGGGAAAAACGTGAACACGAATCAATAGATTAAATGTTGTGACTATAACACGAAATGCCGTGAGACTGGGTTGGCCTGTTAGATGTTGTGGCTATGCAGCTAACTGCAGCTATCAAACTAACAGATTCACATGGACCTATAAACAATGTCTTAATCTCTCATGCTACATACTGTAGGATCAAAGGAGCAACCTTGCATTGTGTTGCTTGCCTTGAATCTTTTTTAAATGCTAGCTTATACAATCAGTCACAGACAATGAAACTCCAGGAGGTAACAAATGTGTTTCTTTGCTTTTTCCCAGAACCCATTCTTTTAATTGGCACAGCTGCTCACTTCTTAATCTTTACGTTATATCACTCAGTTTAATTGCCTTGACGAGCGTCTATCGTTCACACTTCCTCTTTTCTTCTCTAACAAGGCCTGATTAATTTTGCATGTGGAAATCTATCACATATGTGAATGTTTTCCACATTTTCATACCTCAGCACTGCTCTCGTGTGAGGATGAGCTCATGTCCCGCACCATCTGCTATTATTTGTTATTCAAATTCAATTGGAAGTCCCATGTTGCCAGTGAAAAAAAAGTCAGCTTAATTTCATTCTGTTCACAATTTTGTGCCATTAAGAGTTCGGCAAAACAGCTCAATCTGCTGATATTTAATACTTAGAAACTTGTGAAAAACATTGTGATGGACAACTAAATGGAAACGTTTTGCAACATTTCTCATAATGACTTCAAACCACACTCAGATAAAGAGGGTGTTGTGCTCATCTGTGGTTGTACATGAAGCTGGAGAAAACAACAGAGATAAGATATGTTCTAGTCAAGAAAAAATAAGGGCTACAACCAAAGATTTCCAGTAAATTCAATGTATTATGGTCTGCTTAGAATACCAACAAATTAATGTATTTATCTCTTTTACACTAAATAACTACCTGCCAAAATGATAATCATTTTGTTAATTTCCCACTATGCAAATGTCAAAATATGAAAAATCAGCTTTTTAAACCTGAAAATCAAACCCTCCTCCATATCATGCGCTAGGTGTTGCCAGAGGTACATTCATGGAGTCAATCCCAGTTTAATCTGCTGGGTGACAGATGGGAGGGAGTGAGGCTGAATGAGGGAGGCAGCAGCGTTCAACAGGGAGCACGGTGTCTTCGTTAGAGCACTGACTTATTAATGTTGGGGAATAAATTACTTATTCTCTTACAAATATGTTTTTAAGAAATAGGACTTTATGTCCTATTTTGCAACTGTCATCCTGCAATTGACAGCAACATTGTTTCATAGAGGCTGCTTTGGGGCGCTGGGACCAAGCTGAATAATCGATTATGAGACTGTCAAAGTCATCCGGCTTTTTTCCGTGAATTTTTACTCCAGAGAAAACAATTCGTACCAATGTTTTTATTTTAAAAAGAATAGATTGACATTTAAGCACATTTTCTTTCTTGTTAGATGAGAAAATAGAGACTTTCATGTCTGTAAGATAAAAATGATCCTAACACCATGCAGCTTCAAGAAGACGGGAAACATGGACAGGTTGCTCCTGTCCAAAGATAACTAAATCCACGTACTGAAACATCTAAAGCTGTCTTATTCACTTTTTAATTGTTGTTTGTTATTTTTGTAAGATTTATGTGACATTGATCTTTGTATACACTTTTGGATTTTAACACTTTTACAGTTCTCAATCTCCACTAAAGCAGTGTGTAATCATAAAGGATAAGCACATATCTATATAAATACAGAAGCAGCCTGTCTTACCCGTGTTCAGTGCCACATAGAGAGCGCAGACTGAGGTACCAGGTGCCTGTCTGTGGATAGGGAATCCTCAACTTGGTGATATTAGCAGAGGTGTTCACAGAAAGGAAAAACCCGGCCTCTATTTCTGCAACAGAAAAAGAGAAATCACAGGGTTTGAAACAGAAAGAGCTTATGCAGCAACATTAAGAAAACAGTTGACCTCTTCTGAAATTAATATATGTTTTCCTGCTTCTGAAATTGTGCATTAAAAACATTAGAAAATACTAAAATAGTTGAGGATGGAGTTTAAACAAGTGAATACCGAATGAATATGAAGTGGCATTTAAGTAGCAAGCAGTGACATACTGTAAAGTTGAAGAATTAGATGAAAATAAAGTGCAGAAAGGAGTTGAAGATTCACTTCACTTAAAAGGCTGTGACGTCAGTCGTGTGTGAGTAATATATTGAGGTGTCACTTGTTGTGAGTGCTGATCAAATGAGTGCTAGTTCAACTGAAAGATGATGTCAGCTGAAGAGCTATCTGAAGATTAGGCAAAACAGTGGCCAACGTTTTGGGTGAAAGAGAATAAGTGTTTTTGTTGCTCAAAGGTGAAGATGTGGAAGAGCCTCACACTCCAAGTTGTCAAAGTTATATTAGACATACCTGATTCACACTTCAATGATGAGTTATCCCGTAAGAAGAGAGGCATCCCGTGGTTCAGGCAGCCGAACACTGTGACATTAGCTCCTTTCAACGTAGACTGCAAAATGAAACACAAGCTAATGTCATTCAACCATCCGACCATCAACCATCTGCTGCCATCCTGCTGCTAAGCTAACGCTGTTTGTGATGACTTCAGGTCTCATTTCAGCTGTGAAAAAGTAAACTTTAAAACTAACAAATCAAGTGAAACGGCTCTTCCTCTGACTGCCCGAGGCAACTAAATAAAGATGTTGGCAGTTTATCTCCTTAAAGCATCAATTATACATTAACACACTCAGGCATGAAAAATAAATCCTGGAGTATGATTCAAGCGTTCGGAGCTGCATATGCTTACACAAATTGGCTCATTCTGCAGAGAGGTGAAAGGAGACCACTACAGTCCAATTTGGTTTACCGGTGGAAGGACTACTGGAGTACAAATAGCAGCAATAAATCACTGCATGTGTTCATATAGTATCAGTGTGCACTCAGGCATCAAATGTGACACTTCCCAAGTTTCTAAATTCCTTCTAAGTTATTCACAGTGTCTCTGTCTTTGGGAAGGTGACATGTTTTACAACTATTGTGAAAAGTGTCCAGCGAAGTTACTGAACCTTTAACTGCCGGTCACAAATTGTAAAAGTTGCTTTTTAAGAGAGGTTACAGCAGAGCATATTCATTTGTGTCCAGAGGGAGATGTGCCTGGTGGTCGGGAGAACTTATCGCAATTATTTCTTGGATAAATACGATTTCTATCACCCGTCCAAAATGAGCATAATGTATGTGCCGGGAGTTGGCAAAGTTGTTGATTAATGGAATGACTCAGCAAACGCTTTGCCAGGTGCTGAGTTTTCAGGCTTCCTAAACTCGCCATCTGGCCTTCTCTCTTGGTAGTAAGACTAAATCACACCCAATGGCATTTCAAGATAGTCTCCCCGCCCCCCCCCCCCCCCCTTACTTCCAGCTCTGCCCTACAGTGAGAAGATGATTGAGTGAGAAAATAATTGTGGATGGTTTGCCAGACACACAAAACCAAGGCCTTTAACTGTAACATTTTTTTGCAACGCACCGGGGCCCCGAGCCGGCAAGGGGCCCATGCAAAAAAAAAAAAGTCTTCAAAGTAACCAAGCAATCTACATTAATTTGTAATTTGTCTGTCCAATGACCTTGCTCCCTTTCATGTCATATGATACCTTGCGTGACGAGTGAACCGTTTAATCAACCTGTACTGTAGCATTATAAAAAATGTAATATCTTGCATTTATAATGTACAGCAAACCAAAGCACAAGAGCAGCGCTCAAAAGAGAAAGGACAAGAGAGAACAAGGAGATGTAACAGCTAAACTGACAAAATTAGACCGTTTTTTTTGTCATACATCGACCTCGAAATCGAGCGCTAACATTAGCAATGTTGATGTGCAGCGGCAGCCGGAGCCGGAGGCTAACGATAGCTCACCACCATCATTGCCATCTAGCTCCACAAGTGAAGCTGTATCCGTGGCCGTGGCTGTGCAACCTTCTTTGGTTTGGCTGGGCCTGGCAGTGGTCCAACAGTTCCCCCAAGGGCCCCAACCGATAGGGGACTCTATGGCGCTATTGAGACCCCCGACGCCAAGATCAAAATCGATATTATAGCAACCGGTCTATGTAGGCCTACCGGCCCATTCCCCAGAGACAAACATCAAGGAAAGAGGTTTAAGCCTTTTCTTAGTTTGCTGTGCCGTTGTCAGGCTGTGGTGGTTTGAGGCCAGGGCAGGCTGTTGTTGATAGCCTATACATGTGGCGCTTCTGAGTGGTTGTGTTTGTCCGTGTGTGTGTGAGCGCATCAGCGTGCGCTTATGTTTGGGGCGATGGGGGGGGGGGGCCAAAACAATATTTGCACCGGGGCCAATCACAACCTTGTTACGCCACTGACACACACACACACATACACACACACACACACACACACACACACACACACACACACACACACACACACACACACACACACACACACACACACACACACACACATACACACACACACACACACATACTGTACACACACACACACATACACACACACACACACACACACACACACACATACACACACACACACACACACACACACATACACACACACACACACACACACAGTCCTCAATGGGTCAATAATGATGAAAATGACATGCCTTGTGCCTTTAAGGCAAGTTGCTGAGTGTGAATTCAACAGGATGCGGTTTTGACCACTACTTATCTACTTATCTGCCTCACTACTTACCAATAAATGAACATTTATTGGTTAGATTAGATTAAGCTATAATACATAATGCACTCAAAAATATAATGTAGTTCAGGTTAGTAATATTTTGGCAATAGAAATCCTTTTGGGACTTCTGAACTTGAATCTTGAATACCCTTTTGGGTAAGAGTTGTTTTATGAGGCCGCCTCATGTAATATGCCTGCTACCACCAACAGAATATTACAATGAAGCTCTTAAGATACAGATGATTATTTTAGGATATGTAAGATCCTTCTCAACACATGTCTGAACCATTCATCGGTTGTATAAATCAAAAGGTTCCTTTGTTTTCCACATCAGTCTGCCTGGGTGTAGCTCACAATAAGATGTCACTGGTAGCTCTGGAGTCTGAATCCATCTTCCAGCTCCATCTCCATAACCAGTCATTCACAAAGGATGTCAATCTTTCCTCCCCATGCAAGGCGTTGTTGTTAATTTATGTTCCAGTGTTGTAGAGCTTGCCTGTTTTTTGCCTCATTTAAAATTCACCTCGGATTTGTAATGTTCATTTTGTTTGGGTTTTTATTAATTGCTGATAGTTGTAGAGCCCTTTGTAACATTTCTGTGAACATTGCTACATTAATCCTGTTTAATATAGTGATTTATATGCCTGATCCATTATGCAGCTGTTACGAATGTGTGCGTGAGTTCATAATTCAAACAGGAGCGCTGTCTTTCATCAATTAAATCTTCAAGGTTACTGACTGAGGCAAACTACTCTAGAAGAGACTTCAGAGTAATTGCTTTAAAATAATGACTACAGATTTCTGATTTCCACTCTCATAATAGTAATCTGTTGTGTGGCTTTTGATTTGCTAAATTTCCCAGGAGTTTCGCTGATGACATCTGCCGAGTGAGACACAATGCCAACTGATGCAAACACATGGATGAAGTTGGCATGGAGACTGTATGCTGCACATCCTAGAACCCAAACTAATTAATATAAACTCCATTATAATGTAAGTTTGAATTTTGTTCAGAAAAATATCAAACAGGCTCTGTTTTGACTTATTATACTTGAACTTAAAGGTGGGGTAGGTAAGTTTGAGAAACCGGCTCGAGATACACTTTTTGTTATATTCCATGGAATGCTCTTAACATCCCGATAGCAATGAATATCTTAAGTGCTTTGACAAAAAGTCCATAAAAAAATGTCATCTGTGGAAGCCGTAATACTGTAAAAAGTACGACCAATCATTTTAGCCGGCCCGGCTAAAATAACTGGATGGCCTACCTGCCTGTCAGCCTTCCATCTGTGCACAAACTTATCTCGTGCCCTCATTGGTCATGTGCGCGTTCGTGTGTGTTGGAGGAGGGGCTCTGTAAGGAAGTGGCAGATTTTCTCCGGTTGTGTATTTTCAAATTCTAGCGATCTCGAGCCGGTTTCTTAAACTTACCTACCCTACCTTTAATAATTAGAATAATAATAAATATATTATCCTAAGTATCCCCCCCTCTGAGTATACAAATGCTGCTTAGCAACAGATAAGATAATAATGTATTACCAATTTGGGATCAATAAAGTACATCTTATCTTATCTCATCTTATCTTATCTTATCTTATCTTATCTTATCTTATCTTATCTTATCTTAACAGCAAACATGAACATATTTTTCAGTTCAATCGTTTATATTAAAAAACATAATTTTACAAAAGTGCTCGCAGACATTGGGCCTCAAACGTAAAACTAGAAATAAATAAATAAAGGAATAGTATATAAATGATGATCCCTTCAAATAATTAAATCATAATTTTGATCCCTAAAAAGGGAAATAAATAGATTAATAGTAGTAAATAAAGCGTATTCTCATTTATTTTCCATTTTCAACATTTATTTTGTGAGAGCTGGTGTTAAACAACTATGCCATCATACCTGGCTCTCATTCACTGATTACAAATGTGGTTGTTAATAAATATCGAAATAATTGTTTAAATAAATGCAAATTTACATAAATCAATAAAATACCTAGAGAAAAACTTGTATCTATTTATTGCCATTTCTTTTTTTGGGGCAACATTTATATTAATAAATGTATATGTAATGTATCATGCTTATTTAGTCATTCATTTAAATTCATTATGCGTGTGTGTAAAAAAAAAACACTGTAAAATAAAAGTGAACAAGTCCAACCTTCTCATGGACTAACGCTCATTGCAGTGCTTACAATGTCTTGTCTACATACCTGGAGAAAACGTAGAAAAAATGGATCTTAAGCAATTAAACTGATCTACCACCGGTTGAGGTATCAGTGGAAAGAAAAGCCATATGCATTCCTTTCACAGAGAGTGATGCAAGGCAGACAAGCAGCTCCAGCTATTGTCTCCTAAAGCCCTGCAAATCTGCCACAGTCGCCCCGTGGCAGCGCCTGACTGGATCCTGCTGGGACAAGCGAGTGACAGATCACCGCCGGGTGGGAGGAATCTGTCCATAGAATAATATCGCATGACAGTGTCTCTGAAGAATACATCTTGCGGCTCATACAGCGGTTTTAAAGCAGCAAACTGTCTCTGTGACATCCGCCGAGTTACAATTAACCAATAAAAACACAGTGGGTTGGAGGGGTCAGGGTCTCCCCCAGAATTGAACTAACTGTCAATCAATAAAGCATCATATTCATTACTGTCAATTATATCCTTTCCTTGCTGTTAACTGTTTGTGTTTTTCTCTGACATTTTGGGAAATAAGGCTCTTTGCTTTCCTACCGGAGGTTAGATGGGAAGATTGATTATCAATTTCATCTCTGTGTGTGCAGTGGAGATGAAAGATGAGTTTAGGCTGGCTTATCACAAAGTGGAAGCAGGCAGAGACAGCACTGAGGCTGCATGATAACACCTTTCGCTTTAACATGTATAGCGAAAAACATATTACATTCATCGATTTTAGAGGTCATATTTTATCAAAATGTTAAAGAGTAATTTCCTATATAATGAAAAAACAGCAAAATATAATATATGTTTTGAAGCTTTTAAAAAAAAGAAGTCCACTGCAGTTGAAATGTTGAAAAACCCAGAAACGTCTTGGCTGTCTTGGTGGCTAACATGTAAACAATGTAAATCATTTTAAAATCAAGCATCAGTTGTCTTATCTCATCAGAAAGTCGGTTCAGTAGATCTTTTGGAGCTTTTGTGTGTATGACACTAAAGTATTTCACAGTCAAAAATCAACCTTTTATTTTAAGCAAAATTGAAAAAAAGCATACTTATTAAAAATTGACATTTTAACATGCCATAACATTATAACTGGGCACTCTCTTACAGTTTGCTTAGGTTATGAATGTGCATTTACATTTTGTACGCCTTCAAGTGAAGGTCAAACTATGTATGGCTTTTCAATTGATGTACAATAGTATTTAAGACTAAGCTGATCACTAGTTGTTTTTATCTGTAACCGTGGTTCCCATTGATATACAAAATGTCTTTTCTATGTGTCATGTGTCTTCAATCAAAATTATTTGTAGAAAAAGGAAAACATTACAACTGGGCAACTTCCTCTGCAGTGGAAAATCATGTGATAAGATCGAAATGACAACAACAGCTACCGAATGAACCTCGCAGAAAGATTGCTCTGTTCGTCTGACAGTTGTTTTAGTTTTCTGTTTTTTCTAAAGGATAGTTGTTTCTTCCTGCTTCTGCCTTTGGTGCTAAGCACAGATCTGCAGGCTCAAAATATCCTTGACCAATATCTCTCCTGAAAGCAGAGAGATAAAACAGATTACAATCCAACTCCCAGGAAGATGTATCTTCCGAAATGTCAGGATACGCCTTTGAACTGAAGATGTTCGACAGAGTTTCATGCTTCATTGTTTCAAAACTGGCTGCCTTGCTTTTCATATGAATGAATTGTTCAAAAGTCCATCTGACAGCCTGGAGCTCTCCAGAGCCACTGCAGGTAGCATTAATATCTCAAGGACAGCCTAACAAAGACATATCAGATCCTGCTTAGCTGATATGTGCATGTTCTTCTTCTCATTTAGAGACATGTGTGACAAACCCTTTCCATTGAGAACCTTTTCAGGTCCACAGCAACGTTTATGACTAGACAAGCATCCATATTAAGATGCTCTCTGAGCCAGACACGGTTCCTAGTTTCCCTTCGCTGACTGTTGCATATTTACTTCATTATTTTGATCTCATCTTTTGCAATATTGCAGCAGTTGAAGGCTGACGATGGCAACATTTGGAACCAAGACGTCTCCTTTATGAATCCTCAAGGTGTCTGGTAATCTTCTTTTACTTGCCAACCGCATTAAGGATTTATCTCCCCATCAAACCGCATCATGACCTCATGATGACGCTTTACATTTATCAGACTCTATATTTATGGGCAGATTGACAATTAATTTTGAACTTTGAAAGACTTCTCATTATTCTCTTTTTTTGGTTCATGGTTGCAGGCTAGCTAGCCAGCTACAGGTGATAGCCATTGATATTAAGACTTGTCCATTTCAAGTCAACTATATTCAGATACAGACACCCTTGTGTACATTCTAAACAAATATACAAGGATTTAAACCCAATTCATGTGTCTTGATAACAAAAATAAGCAAGTTGTGCTTGTAATCTCATCATTAATAAAACAACATTAATGTTTTCTTGTATAAAAACTAACAAAATACGAGCAGTATCAGAACACCTAATCACTCATATTCAGTTTTTCATAGTGTATACCTTATAAATAACCATAATAAAAACCTTCCAACCAATTTGTAATAGTAAATTGGCGTTAAACATTTGTTTTAACATTGTATCATGTATTGTGCCTTTAAATAAAATAGATAGTGTCTCTAGAGCAACTCACCATGTTGAGTTTGAGCTCCATGTTGAGGACTCCTCCGCTGTCTAAAACAGGCATCAGGTTGATGGCGAACACAGCAGCCCTGTCCGGTGGGATGGATATATTTGGACCAAAGAAGACGTAGAAGTGCACAGAGAAGGTGTCCAGCTCATTGCGCAGGGTCGGGCGGATGGGCCAGCACTTGTTGTAGTCGGCCGTGGGGGGGAGGTAAATGATGCTGTCCTCAGAGGTGTGGAGGTGACTGTCGTTCTGCGTCAGGCTGGGCAGGGAGGCCACCGACAGCGTCTCAGACAGAGAGAAACCCATCGCCGTTCCAAAAGACTGAGGCATGTTCATGGAGGAGCTGGGCTGAGACTGGTCCTTTGACAAATTGGTCTTGGAGCAATCTTGTGAGAGGAGAAAACATTAGATTCATAAAGAAAATCAATCAAAGCGACCCCAGTATGATGGAGTTTTACTGGCTTGTTGCAAGAGCTTTCAAGAATGTACCTTGCTACATCTTGTGTAATGTAATAACACTGCCTACCATAATGTCAAACAGCCAATCCCCTGTAAGTCCCAAACAAACAGGCAATAACCAAGTCAGTTATTTTACTTGCGATATTATGCATGCTAAGCAACCAAGTCTCTTGCAAATGTTTGAAATGATCCCCTTCGGCTGGCTTCAATAATGTAAACAGCGAGGTTCAGCGCCGAACACTGCTTTTTAATGAGACAAAGATTCACAGTAATTGCAAACAGTATGCTTTCACTCAACACAAAGCAACTCTGCAAAATGGTCATTGATGGCAACTGGCAAAGTACCATCACATACTGCCAATCCCCAAGGGGAAAGGATTTCAAAGGCTTTTCTAGCTCAGCCTCGTTTGCATAGTGTTGTCTCTGAAAGGGTTTGAAGTATTTTGATGTCCGTTCAGACAGCTGAAGCTCTCATACAAATACTGAAATACCAAATACTGCTGGCTCGAGGCAATTGTAACTTTGGTTGGAACAAGAAAATGTGATGTATAAGACCCAAATATGTTTAGGAATGCCTAATTGTGGGTGGGTGGGAGAGGCGGGGCTGTGTAAACATACTGATTCATAACATTATAATCCAAAGAGCTGATTTCTTTTTGATTTCATACACAGCACAACACACAATCTCTCTTCAATGCGGATATTTTAAAGGGCAGGAAACCTGCAGAGGAAATACGGTATAAACAACTATAATAAATAATAAATTGCAACCTAGTTTCACTACTTCCTGTCTATGCAGCTCCCAAAATAATACGTAAATTAGACTGGATTGGAGTAAAGGGCACATCATTCTAAGAAGGCTTGGAACAACAATAAGGTATAATGGTGAGAAAAGCCTGAGAAGGTGAAGACTCCAGATGGTCTTTTCTCTAAACCTGAGGTGTTCTTCAATTTAAATCCACAAAAAGGTCAAGTAAGATCTGCCCGGCAGGCGGGGGGAGAAACAGAGTGTGAATAATTAGTGTCTGTGTTGCTATGGTGACAAAGTGCACTGTACAGTGTCCAACACAGGCAGGGGATCGCTACACGGGAGACGACTTCCCACAGATTTGTGAGCCATCCCTGTAGAGTGAGAATACAAAATATCTCCACTCTGTCCACACAGCATGCAGCACTTTAGCATCCGATCACTGGCTTCTTAGCGATCCCATAAGAATCCCCTCTGTTTACGCTACAGCCTTTACTCAAACAACTCTACTAATGGTCCGGCGGTGTCTGGCCATTGTTTCCTGATCAGTACACATGTTCCAAATTAATGTGTGCCTCTCGCATCTCTGAGAAGCTTTAGCATATTGGAAACGTTTTAAAAGACATTTGATTTTTGCTTTTTTAAGGATAAGTTACACCTAAGAATCAGTCCTGTTTTTAAAGAGCCTGGGCCAATATAAAACCAACATCCTTTCTTCTTTGACTCTATAATTATGGATGTTGTATGTGGCATGCTGCAAAAATCCACTTTTATTTGGTGCAGTTAATGAGATTTCAGGTGTATAAAAACGACCCCAGTATCATGTTGAATTGCTCATCAAAAGCAGCAGGAAGAAACATTTTGAATGAGGCTGGAAGCAAACAGCTCTCAGAATGTGTCGACAGAATTATCGCAATTTATTCTAGTGAATAAACAAACACATTACCTCTCATAAATCATGTCATCATTTTGTTTAATTGGCAAAATTGGTAAAATACTTGTGATAAGATATTTTCATATTAAGAAAAAAAGAGAAAAAAAAACAGAGAACTCAAATAACATTTTTTAACCTAATAAAATAATCCGAAAAATGATAAACGTATAACCTACCCATCATTTTCCCATATAAGTGATTGTAAATGTAAGAAATAAAGCAAATATCACACTATGAGGGTCAGATCTATGTAGCCATTACATTACAAATACAGTTGAATATATATTGGGGTACCAGTATGGAGAAAAAAGGGAAAGGTAAATAGATGAGGGGTATTCTTTTTTATTCTCAGTGTTTACTGTAAGTGTGTTTTTTGTTTGACGTTGATGTCTGATTTTTTTTTTCTCATATAAAGAAAGGTATTTTCTTTATAGTAAGCCGTGAAACCTACATTTAGGCAACAGAAATTCATAAAAATGAAAAAACAAAACAAACAAAGCCAAAGACTCATTAATCACATTTGAAAAGACACTCACCTGTGACCTGCACACCGATGCGGAAGTAGACGTTGGAGTTAGTTAGATATCTCTCCACCAGGATGTAGTACCATTGTTCCCAGGCAGGCACGAGCGTGTCTAACTCACAGGGGTTCCACTCCCTGCAGTCGAGGGCACTTGAGTTATGCACCGGCGGCGCCCGCGCTCTTATCTTCAGCACCACGGGACAACTGTCGCTGCTCCTGTTCTTGGTGCTGCAGTTTACCAGCTGAACCTTCACCTTTGATATATAATTGGGGATGAACACTCTGCACAAGCACGCACACACGCACACACACACACACACACACACACACACACGCACACGCACACGCACACGCGCACACACACACACACACACACACACACACACACACACACACACACACACACACACACACAAATTCATATGTATTAGATACAAATACTGGATAGAAAATGTTACAATAATTATTACTATGAAAGGACAGTGTGTCTTTTCAGTTTTATAAGAATATAAGAATATGAAAAACATTTTTCATATTCCTCTGCTCACAATGTTGAGGTGACTTTTAGAGAAGAGGAAGTCAATAAAGATGCTCACACTGTAAGCACACACTTTGAAATTGCATCTTTTCAAATGAAAATGCACAATAAGCTCACAGAGAACACTCTTGAGAAAAAACCATAAGAAGGAAATGAAGAGGTGTAGTGGGGAATAATAGAAGACTTACTTATAAAGTGCAGATCTGTTATGGACAGGGATCATCTGGTCAATGAAGTATCCAGGGTAAAGCACCGAAATCCCAACGAGCCTCTGGACGATGAGCTGAGGTTGAAACAGATACTGGCATTCTTCAGAGAGACCCTAGAAACAAAACACAGCAGCAGACGGCATGTTAGCGGTTAACTCGGCAATATTTCTTAAAAGCTGGTAAGGAGGACATTAGATATCATTCCGACTGGCTGAGAAATCCTAATGGACTTTGTGTCAGCCTCCTGGATTAATATGGCTCCGTCCTCCCTCGGCCTGCCACACAGCGTAATATGCAGCCAGTATTTCACTCATGTTGTTCTGAACCATTCATGCTTGATGTGCATTACTCTGTGAGATGAGCCGAGCACACAGAATGACTCCGAGCCAGGAGGCCGTGCATTGTGTTTCCACACATAATCATTTGTTTTAAAAAAGGGAAAGGGGTTTTTTTTTGCGGCAGATTCAAAAGGACAGGTGTGAATGCCAAATGAGGCCCTTCATTCCTGTCAGACGATCAGTGACCCTGCCTGCTCGAGCCACAATTACTGTGGCATGTCATTAGTCCGGGAGCTGCCGAGGTGACCCTTTGATTTATTACAGCCTGTCAGTTGGACCAGCAAATGTGTCTTGTAGAGCAAGTTGTGTTTTAATTAAGGCTCAACCAGTATGGAGTTTTTAAGGCCAATGTTTTTACAGTATAAGTGAAGACATCTTATGATGGCTTTAAATGTGACTCTTTCCAATGCCACAAAAAGATATAGGCATTCATTTATGTTCTGCAGAATTTCAGTCTTGGCAGAAAGCCTCTAAAAGTCCATCTAGGCCATATAGCACTAAAACTCTCCTTTGGAAACCCGACTAATTGCATTACTTTAGCTCTTTCAGCCAGAGTGACCCTATGAGACTATGCAATTTGAGGAAAAACTCTGGGGTATACACTGAGCTTTCACTTTATTAGGTACACCTGAACAATCTAATGCAATCCTCCGCAATAGTGCTGCAATAAATGCAACATTTGAAAGCTTATGTACAGCTTTATTGAACTCTATGGTCACTTTTCAGTCAGTTAGTGGTGATGTTGTATTGCATCACAGTACATTGAGTTTCTTATATAAATACTTCCATTTACACACTATACTGTAATGAGACGGAAAGCATTACTTCTCAATATAATTATAAGGCTGTTACTGGAAGGATTTGTGGCGGTAATAATACTTCAAATGGAAAAAGATCATATCATCTTAGAAACCTTAGTGTATTTGATATATGCTAATTTATAAGACAGATGGAAACTTTAATTAGTAAATACTATGTGCCAAAATTATACTTAATTGCCACTTTTAAACACTGCTTGGCAATATGTTCACACTGGGAGTGATCCTCATTGTTCTGACTGTTGCAAGGGCTGACTGGCAAATATCCAGCATTTAATAAAAAGCTAATAAATCATATAATAGCTTGATTTTAACGATCATCATAACATGGTAAGTCTGTTTGAGTAATGGGTAAGTAAGAGAAAAGAAACCCCTACAGAATTGTGATTGATTGTGTTAAGAGTTATTGTTTTAAAAGTATTCCCACAACCCTTGCTTTTAATGATATGCTACTAAAGCATCACCATAACCCAGATACAAGATAACATGGTTGCTTTTAAGCTAAAAATAAACCAATATATTCAACAATTAGTTATAAAAGAGAGGTATACAGGTCAATGATTTTCAGAGAGACTTGCCTGAATAAAATACTATGGTCATATACAGAGGATCTTGCCTCTCAAACAATGGACATTTCAGAAAGTCCCATAAGAACATATAAATAATGTATTTGACAGGAAAAGCTATTTATCACTGCTTCTTTGTTCCTGGTTGCTAAATCCTTACCCTGTGTGTTCGGTATTTTACTGAGATTCTTATAAATGCACAGTGCATTCCCTCCTGTTCCGCTTGCATCGCTTCCACCCGTGTTTCCTTTCTGATCTGATAACATCACATCTTGGTTCTGAAAAATAGCTTCAGAAGGCAGAATGTGTAATTTCTATCTATGCAGCGTGTCAGTGGATTTCAGCCACAGCCTCTATTCTCAGAGCCCCCAAAGCAAACCAATGCCTTTGTACATGCAATGTTGATTTCAACTTTTGATGATATTTCTGCTTGTTGTGCATTCCTGGTGCACGTTTTGCCCGCCAATGGAAACCACAAAGGGAGCACAACTGAATACCATGCCAATGACAGATACATTGCCTTTAAAATAAATCAGCAGGAGTTTTTATGTGGCCAAATAGGAGAACATGATGAGATGCTGCTTTTTTTAAGCTCTGAAGCACTATCAGGAATACTAATCCCAACCAACACTTACATCATATTTATTCATGTTATTCTTTTCATGGAGGGGAGATAAGTAACCATGAAGAAAAATATTTCCGATAAAGATGTCATTCAAGCCATCTTAAATAACACTTTCACATGAATAAGCTTAGGTTTAACCAGTCTCTTTTAGCGATTCATGTATAACTATATAGTGACTCATTTGCTGCTCTGATCAGCTGATTCTGGTTGCGATGTATTAAGGCTGCTAGCATGGAGTATAGGCATGGCAATGTTGGTCTGTTAGTTCAATATTCTGTACAACTTCTGTGATCCCCTTTTCCTCTGAGGTTGATATTTTTGGTAATTACTGAATGTCACAGCAGCTTTTTGATGGATTGCCATGAAATTAGGTATAGCCATTCATGATGCCTAAAGGATACATCCTACTGACTGGCATCTAGAGACTTTTAACTAGTGCCACTAGTAAGCTGGTCACTTATGCAGTGAAATATATAACATATAAGATATATAGGCATTAACCTTGTACCTCACATATTACTTTTCCACTGAAAAAAACCTTAAATAGATATTTGTGATATTGAGTATTGACAACACTTCGATGGTTCAGACCTTTATGTAATAACTTAAACAGCATCAGGTCATACTCTATACCAGGGGTGTCAAACTCAAATTCATTGCGGGCCACATTAGCATTATGGTTGCACTGAAAGGGCCGGTTGTAACTATATAAATATACATATATAAATATATAATATATACAAAATAATGTATTATATTACATTATTGCCTCTGCATTGGATTATTATCGGATAGGGTAATAACTTAGTAATTAACTACGTCTGAAAGCAGAAGTCCAGGGCAAATCATTCTCTCTTCAGTGCGCATGTCCAGTGCGCGATGCATTGTGGGACATGTCGTCTGTAAAGTGGCATGTAACCGTATAATAACGTATTGTATTATTTGCAAGCTCTTGCGGGCCACATCAAATGAAGTCGCGGGTCGGATTTGGCCCCCGGGCCTTGAGTTTGACACCCCTGCTCTATACAATACTTGCCTTTCAGTACCAAAAGCACCCGTAACCGCCTCATAGTGTTAAGAGAAAAACTACCAAATAACAGCATGATATCACACCAAACTTTGACAGCTAACAATACACCTGCATCTTAGCATTGGCATTGTTAGCATTATAGAATGCTTATGTTAGCACTTAGCTCAAAAGCATCACTGTGCCAATGTACAGTATAGTATCACAGAGCTGTTGCATGTTGAACGATGAAAGGTGGATATCGTAAGCTGTAAAAGCAACTATATGGTTCAGAAACACAAAAGTGGCCAACGTTAGCATCATCTCAAGGGTTTCATATTCAAACCTGAACCTACAATGTTTATGTGTGTGAAATGTTCAGGCTCACCTTGACTGAGATCTTGCCTTCGTCCTTGGGTAAATGTGCGGCTAGGAACCAGTCTCCAGGGAGCGGGCTGGTCACGTTGAATGCTCCTGTCGTACGGTTTGGAAGAGTCCAGGTAAGAGTCACAGCAAAGGATCCTGGGACGACTGTATCCCGAGGGAAGCTGGTGTACAGGGGGTTTATTACTGGAGGAGCCCCAGACCTGAAGTACCTATTAAACACAAAGGCAAAACACAATCCTTGTTAGTCCTTATGCTTTCACAAATTACAGAGGCATCTGCCAATAAGTAATTCATATATAAGAACAGATGATGGCATGAGCACAGATGGCATCTCCTATTTTAAAAATGCAAAATCCAAAACATTAATTAGCACATCCACGTCAATCACAACACCACAGGCACAGAGAAGAATCACCTGAGATGCCAGCTCTCATGACAAACAATATATTATGACCAATATCATGCCAATTGAAAGGCATGGGAAAAGTGAAATGCGGTTTTAACAGCAGTTCCCTCCATACGTCGAGGCTGAGAGTAATAGCTGACACTGTTTGAGTTGAAGCAGCTGGACCCTTTCCCCAAAGGGAGAATGCATAATATTCTTGTTGATATATATATGTATACCCTAGAGAAGGAGCAGACGGAACTCCCTCAGTTTCCAACCTTTACAAAAGAGCAACTAAAGAAAAAGCTGAGCACAAGCGACTCCATTCCATAACAAAGATGTTGTGATCCTGATCGTCTTACACAGTCACGTTGCGGTTGGGGCAGCTGTCTCCAAACGTGCCCCCTTGCTCCTTGAAAGTGATGAGGTTCCATACGGCCATCATGGTGTCATCAGGCACATTGAAGTGGAACAGCTCCACACTGGCGAAGGAGTTGAAAGCATTCAGCTTACGAGGCGTTCGGGTGAAGTATTCAGTCACAAAAAGGCAATCTGTGGGGAAACAGAGGAAAGACACTTTGAATATGTGTGAGGATTACTGTATGGAACACATGATATAGCCTCATTAAGAGTGGCCTTCTTTGATCAACAAGAGTCTACAGACATTCTTACTGCTTTAAGGCTTCACTTAGGTACAGCAATGTTTTGAGTTCAATATGCCGTGCTATCATATATACAATGCTTACATGCTATGGTTAAGCACCAACTTAGTATAGTGTTCTGGCATGCTAACATCTGCACATTTACACTGCACAGTTCAGATGTGGCTGATGAGACACAAAACAAAGTATTTGATGATTAGACATTTAGATAATCTGGTAGATATTATTCACATAGTAAGTAAAAACATTGACCCACAGGCAGCGCTACCCACAAAGTAATGCGATCAGAAGTCATCCTCTGGGGATCATTTGTTTCTTCACAAAACTCAATAGCAACCACCCCGTAGTTGTCAACCGATTTCAGCCTGAGCCAAAGGGCTGGACCTAGCCTCTGACAAAGATGTAAGACTTTTTCTTTGAAAAGATTGAATCTCAAGTACAAACATGTTCAATTTTTCTCAGCACTATCATTCTTGTAAACAGAAGAGAGGCAGACGCAGTCTATCTGTCTTAAGTCCTTTACGACAAGCATCTCCTTGAACCCGACAAACTGTAGAGAGCTAGATAATCTAAATATGTGATCACAGACTTTAACTCCTGTTAAAGCAGCGGAGGGAGATGTATATATGCAGGCTCACTCGCGTCCTGCATAATGTCAAATCCTTGGATTACATCCAGGGAAGGCTGTGCATATAAAAGCAGCGGAACAAGTGACAGCTGTAATCTGCCATTACCTACATGAGCCATCGAGCTACACCCAGCGGGTGGGCAGAATCTGGGGGGAAAAGGAGTGTGAGTCAGTTAATTGCTATAACTATAGTCTTCTATATAAGATTCAGTAGAACATGAGTGGATGAGTGGATATGAAAGAAGACGGCAATATTTCACAGAACAATGAGAGGTTTGTTTTTCCACTTGAGACGCAGTCCCTTTGTGTTTATGCATATCAAGCCTTTCTACCATCTGTACTTGGAATACCTGTGGCGGTGTCTGTTTTGTTTCCTTTTGGGGATCATTTATCTCACCTGCAATTTGTACAAGTATACTTAAAGCTCACAAAACTGAATGCAATGAAAAGCCTGTGCCTCTAAAACAGCATGAGCCCAATTCGTTTAAGAGTTGCAGCGACACAGTAAGCGAGCACACAGAACTAATGCTGTCATTTGCAGCTGCATGGTTTGCTTTTGCTTCTGCTTTTACCTTGATGATGAGACAGTGTAAAAAAGCGACCCTCTATAGCAGGGGTGTCAAACTCAAATACACAGTGGGCCAAAATTATAAAATCGGTACTAGTCAAGGGCCGGACTGGTTCAATGTTTATTGCGAAACTTATTGAAATGAACTTATTGCACATATTAAACCTGGAACTAACAAAGCTTAGATTATTGCCTATAAAAACGACATTAAACATTAAATAATCAGTTGCATTCATTTCTTATGGCTCTATCTTTGTTTGGGCTCAGGCTCTGAGCTGAGGAAACCCTCAGGATTGAGTGAAGGTGTGCGTGCAATATACCAGCGGGCCAGATCTAATAGTAATTAGAAATTATCCTGCGGACCGAAATGAAATCCACCAAGGGCCTGATTTGGCCCCCGGGCCTTGATTTTGACACATGTGCTCTATAGTGTCGAGGAGCTTGGGCGTGGAAGCATATCAATGAAAAGGTTTTCTTGAATGTGCAGTGTGTTCTAAAGCGTGTTGGGAAACAGAGAAGAATGTCTCTGCTCCTCTCCCCAGCACTATTACCAGTCCTCAAAGCCCTCACCTATGGATGCTACCTTGAATACTAAAGAAGCAGAACAAGGAGGCAGAGACTCAAAAGAATGAAGCAATCTTGCTGTCAAGAGCTAAGGCTTAATCCCATACAAAGCTCTCAGCCTTAATTTTCACTCTCCTCCCCTCTGTTTCTCTGCGTTATATGTGAGCATGCTTTGCATTTGGGTTCTTCTTTGCAATTTCATTACAGTGATGTCTGTGACTGAGGCTGAGGAGAAACGGCTTCCATGTCACACATTCAAGTGCTATAACTCAAAAGGTGGAGGGTGGCCCCAACGCTGCTGAAGTCACTCTGCAGTAAGCCTCCTGTACGTTCTGCCTGTCTGACTAGAAGGAGACAGACCTCTTGTTCCAGCTACAGATCACAGCTAACACCACTTAAGTTTAATATCACACTGTAACCGGTTCATTAGCTGTTGGTCGGGCATGTTGGAGAGGAACAAGTCAGTGATATTGCACATCTGGATATTGCCAAGCTGCGTTATGTATAAATAGCCATTAGACTACGATGGATTGCGCATCCCTACAGTACATACATTGAATCTTTGAACAAGTCCCCATTATAACATGAAAAATAAGGTATTATACACTCTAAATGAGGGGTTGCCAAAGCTGTGGTTAAGGACCCCCAAAAGAGGTTGAGCTATGATTAAGGGGAGAAGGACCAAAACCAATCCAATTCCTGCTACATGTACACTTTTAAAATGGTTCCTTTCTTGTAGTCTTACTTCCTCACATTTAGGAAATGGTTCAAGTGATTCATTGTAGGACAATTGCCCCTCAGTTGAACTGCTCACAAGTCAGAGACATTTGAGTAGGTATATTACAGAAGGCATCTCTTTGTATTAAACATGGTCTAAACTGCTATGTCTTGGTATGAGGTAATGCCTGCGAAAAGTCAGTGTACCAAAATGTTGCTTTTTTTAAACAAATGTACGTAAGCGTTGACAGTGTGCAGCAGATCATTTTTTCTTATTTAAGTAATTATTTGTTTGCATACAAACCTTTCTGCAAATGTGCAAAGATATTTGTATTTGTTCTTAATGTCAATGAACTGTGAAGGTAACATTCTGAAATGGTTTTTTGACTGTAAATAGTCCAAACGTCGTGTTTGCCAGTTTTTCACATTTTGTCATTATTATGTTTAATTATGCAAGTTGGAATCACTCAATTGACAGGCTACATGTGAAGTGTTCTTGTGACAAATGAAACACATGACTGTAACCGACATGCCAAGTTATTATAAATAGAACAAACAAACCTGCATCTATTTATAAACCGGCTCTATGTGAAAAACAAAGATTAGTCAAAGGAAATGTCTCAGTTCCAGCAGCCGCACACTGTGCCTGCTCTGAGTGGGAAGGTGATAACACACACATATATTCAAACATTTGAGTTTGCCAGCTGAATAAAGACATTTCAAGATAACGACAGCAGAGTGCTTACAGGCGTTCTTACAGCACATTCTGAATTCAGTCATCTCAGTAATCTTCAATGAGCGCCTCCCAACCACTGTTTTACCCTGTTAGAGGCTTAATACAAGCATAATCCAGCTTTTTGTCATTTCAACCAGAGATTTATCCCTGAATGCTTAGCAGGATGGTCTTTAAACTTCATCTTTTTAGAAGGGCGTAAATGCTGCTTCTTAAAATATCTCTTCTCTTACTGTAGCAGGATTTTTAATACATAAAGAAGACAAAATCATGCTTGTTGTAATAAGCATTTTTAACAACAATGACTTCAAAATTCTGCAAAATCTGGCAATTAATTGTACCCCCTTGGTCAAACACACAAACCTAATTGAATAGATGACTTCCTGCTGATCATTGATGAGCATTACATTCTGGATTTAAGACTCAATCTTAAAATATCAGACTGACCCCTCTTACTGTAATACATACAAAAAGAAAAAGAGGGTAAAGGGGGGGAAATTCTTCTAACTGACTTCAACCAAGTCTAAGCATTTAACAACACGGATGGAGAGAAACAGCAACAAGTCTGTCAGGGGACTGCAACATCCTCAGACAGACCTTTAAGGTCTTCTTTGACCGCAGCAGCACAGCGTGTGCAAAAGGTATGGATTCATTGTTGTCTCACAATGAGCTCTGAGCTTTTTGTTTCATGCCTCTGTCTTGAAGCAGCAAAGAAACTGGGTGTATGGACACCAAGAACAAAACACTCCTTATTGGTGTTTTCGTGAGATTGATCTCTTTTAAAGGAAAACAACTTAGACATTTTAACGCATCTTGTACATTTTTCATGTCATGTTTTATGATAAAAAGGAGCAGAAATCAAAGGGATTTGAGAGATTTTACTTAAATATTGCCACATTATTAAAGGAAATCCTCTCATTTAGATGTAGACTAAATTAAACAAGAAAATAACAAGGTTACTTATTGTCTTATAAATCCAGCAATATTTTTCCATTTTGCCAACGTGTCTTATTAACTTGTCTCCAACAAAGCACAACACCGTCAAACAAATGTCAAAGGCACCAACAATGAACGCGTCCAGCACGATGTATTTTCTTGTGGCCACATACATCCCTCAGTAACGTATCGTACAACATATTGGAGCATCTGTCAATGTGTTGCGTGCCATAATTAGCAGCAGCTTCTATGCGTCACGTAACTGAAGCATGTCTTTATTAAAAACGGTTTTAATTGTTGACCAAGAATAAAATCCGCAGCTGTGGATGTTTAGTAGACTACAATCAAACGACAAACTGGACCCGATGCTGCTGCTGCTGCTGCTCTCCGAGGTTTTCAGCACCCCGACAAAAGGAACAGCTCCCCGCGAATCAAAGCAGCACACACTGAATGGAGAGCACTCACCTCCAAGAGCGCACAGATAGTAAACAAGCAAGAGGAGCCTCGGAGGGCTACATCCTGAGCCCAGGCGCTCCAGCTGCCACATCGTTAAAAGCAAAAAATGTAGTGGAGGGCTCCAGCCCGGGTGCAGTTCTCAGTCGCTTTGCTGGTCTACATTTTTTACGGATTTTTTGCCAACGACCAGCTGTTTGTGCATGACGTAATTGAGACGACGACAGGACAGCGCCTCCCCTTTGGCTTTGATTTGACAACCTCAATATGTCGACTTATCTCATTGGACCTCCGGCCCTGTCAGTCTGGGCACGCTGCAGACGTACATTGCACCACAAGGCTCGTCACTCCGGCGTCCGGGCCACCACACAGCACCGAGCCGGGAGAGGCTGCAGCTGCCCCGGCGGCTGCTGCCTCTTTACCCGGGCACCCGGACACACAGTTGGGGGGAGCATCCAAGCATCTGACCTGATCTTATCCAGTACAGCCTTCTGAACTCAGAAACATCTGTGTCATAAGCAATGTTTTATCTTTTAGACATTTGCAGGCAGCCTTTTCTGCATTGCAGTGTACAACATTAGCAATAAAACAGCTACTTGTAGGTTTACAGGAATCACGTTTTTTTTTCATGCAAACCCCCTTTGTTCTCTTTTACATCTTAAAACGTATCGTTAACTTGTAATTTCCTAATCTTACGGGAATTACATGTACACATTAATACATATAAAATGATTGTGAAATATGTCGTTTAAACACATGTTTATTGAAAATATTAAACTCCAGTTAATAACAAAGAGAAGGATAATGTTTATTCAGGTTTTAATAAGGTAAAATTAAATATCAATCAATCAATCAATGTTTGTTTATATAGCCCAATATCACAAATGTTACATTTGTCTCAGTGGACTTCACAAATTGTACAGAATATCAGTATGACAATACGACACCCTCTGTCCTTAGACCCTCACATCGTACAAGGAAAAACTTCCAAAGAAACCCCACAGTTTTAAAGGGGAAAATGGGAGAAACCTCAGGGAGAGCAACAGAGGAGGGATCCCTCTCCCAGGACGGACAGACGTGCAATAGATGCCGTGTGTAAATCGAAGAGATAATACATACACATATTTGTTGGTTTTTGCAATTCGTTTTACAACACACAGCAGTGGTGTATGTTTTATACAATGAAGGTTAACTAAATTACTGAACCAATAATGACATTAACATAGTTGCACGGGACTTGAATTAAGATGGTATCAAAATAATTGCATTTGTGTTATTAAGTGTTATTCTATTTGAAAAACAAGGCGTAGCTTTTTTTTCATTAATACACAAATGATTCTCCTGGACTTTTTTATATTCTAATTCAGCAGTCGAATAGGCTACAGACTTATTTGGGGGGGGGGGGGGGAACAAAGGTTTTCACCAATGTCTGCATCAGACAATAATCCATGGCCCAGACTGACTCGAAATCTCAGTCATGTTTATTTTTAGGCTGTGGTGTGACTTCAACATGAGTCATGACTGTCCAAGCAGATCTGACAAGAGGGAATGAGCTCCTGAAACAAGTCGGGCGCAATTAATTTGACACAAATGAATCATTAAGCAGAGTTTTGCCCTGCATTAAGAACAAATGTCTAGGAGGTTGAGAATGATAAGTAGGTTCAAATTCACTTTGTGACTATTCTTTTTTGCTAACCTTAAACTAACCCAACTCCCTCAACATGATTTTAGGATGAAAAACATGTTTTATAATTTCTTGAGTTGCACCATTTCAACCAGTTATTGATTCATATTATTAGTCCAACTAAAAACCAACAGAATATGTAAAGTACATTTCAGTGACAACTAAGAAGACATTTAGTTAAATCTTAGGAAACATGCAAGATGTGTTGTGTTACTTGTCTTTTTGCTGAAGATATGGAACAATGTGGCAAGAACAATTGACAAAACACTCTTTGTTGTGAGCGTTGTGTGTAGCTCGTTGGTAGCTGGTATTTGGTTGGCAACAAAGTTCACTCTGAAGTTTTCTTCAAAAATGTAAAGACTGCCAGATTCCCTAGATACCACGACCTACGCGTAGCAACCAATCTTGCACGACTGACCTTGTCAAAGTGCTAAACACAGCTGCACTGTGTGTCAATGAAGCAGTCATGGTGTGTCCTTCATCAGCTGTAGACATGTATCCCTATAATGCAGTCACACTTTGAAGACGGACAGCACTGATACGACGCAAAACTACAATTAATTTCTTAGTTAAAAATGCTTGCTGTCTTGTTCCAAGGTTTGACATGTTTTCCTTTTGAACCTGGAATTTATGGTTTTTGGTCCCACGACTTTCAAGTTTCGGACAAACTGGCTGCACATAGCTGTTAATGAGGTAATCTGTCTGTGTACAGATGATGCAAGGAATGTTGTAATCTTCTAGTATGCAAAGTGGTGCAACAACTCAAAGCCACTGTTCTCATCATAAAATGGAAAGACAGCCATTCTTCTCCTAAAAAAGACCTGCCAGCCACCTAGTGAGACATAATTACGGCAGAGCAGTCACTGTGATAGAGAAAGGCTTGGTCAAAAACCAAAATCCTAAATCTTAACAAACCACCGAGATGGATTAACTTTCTACATTTCTGTGGTCCTTGAAAACATGAACACTTCCAATCATTAGACCTCAAAACCTCTGGAAAGTTTTTCTTGCTTACATAAAGGTGAAGCTTTTAAAACTGCTTCATACTGTTTGGTAATGATCCCACTATATGTGGTGGAAGAGCATGAAGCATAACCAGCGAACCAGTTTTAAGAACTGGTGGTGAGAGGTGGTGGAGGATGTCTGCGTGTGGGTGGCACACACACAACCCTAGTTATTACTATAATAAGGTTATGCTGTCCACAGTCTCAGTGTACACACAGTCATACACAGATGAGCATGAAGGGCTTCAAGTTATTTTAACCAGCTAAGTTTGTATGAGGATGTTCAAACATTCAAGAACACAGCTGCACCTAATCCACCAAAAATTGAGTAAATAATGGAACTTGTTGCCAAAGTCAACTCAGATGGTCTCTACCAATATGTGAGCAGACCAACTGTGTGCAGCATGTTCAGTTTAAAAGATAAATTGACACAATTACAATGCATCTGGGCAATTATTACAATTAAAATCCAAACATATGGCTGGCTGTGTCTTTGAACAAGATAGGTTAATGTAAAGTGGATTTAAAAATTGCACTGACCTTGGACTTTTTCAAAAATATCTATTGTTTAAAATTTCCTCAAAACAGCTCCTGTCAATATGAGAGCATCACCGTGTTAAAAGGCATTTAGCGTGAACAAGGTTGAGTTTGCTTCTCGCGTCTGTTAAGGCTGTGGCCAATCAGATATCTAGCTAAACAGTGCCCCCTTATGAATAGTTTTACTCTCTGAAATTTCTTTACCAGGTACTGAGCAACATGAATGGTCCTGAATAAAGACTACAATTGTGCGCTTTTATAATTTTATAATTTTATAATTTTATAATTCATCATTTACAGCATTCAATAAAAAAAAAAAAAAGAAGGGAAAATAAAACATTAATACAGTTTGCATTTACAAAGGATTAGTGATAGTTAAGGCACAACGTATTAGTGGAAATATCCCACAACAACAGCACACCATCCAATCACATCCCCATTGATCCGAGGTCTGTGATTCTACTTGAGTCATTATTTTCTGTGTTTGTTGCCCTTAATCTGGTGACACCTCACAAGTAAAACTACAAAAACTAGTTTAAGTACAGAATATGTCAAACTCTAACAGGTAGGCAAGCGTCATGAGCATTACATCCTGAACACTCCAAAGCGTGTCTTCTTCGTTGGTGCATTCAGTGCGGCACTGAGGCTCAGACCCAAAACCAGACGAGTATCTGCGGGATCAATGATCCCGTCATCCCACAGTCTGTAAAAAAAAAAAAGCATCACATTATTAAACAATCTCACTCATCTGATGTGTTTGTAGTCCTAAATATGATAATTACAGAATTACAGAATTCATGTTTTTGTTGCTGCTTTATTTGATAGTCTTTAACTTTAAATACATTTTTAGGGCTTTGAAAAACTATTTGGTAGACCTTTATCATCTGATATGTGCTTAGCTCACACAAACCATGAAAATAACCCACAGGACCAAATAGTAAAAACAAGCAAAGATGGTTAATATTAGCAGAACAACAGGACATCTGATGGAGAATAAATACACTTTGAACCCATCACAGCATCACTCCTTATACATGAGCAGTATGATTTCGAAAAGCAGGGTAATATGATTTGATATTGGAATGATTTACAAAAGACATTAGAAGCAAATGCTGCTGGCATGTTGTTATTCCACCTCTGCAGAATATTATCATTTCAAAGAGATCATTTGAACATTTAGTCAATGCTGTGAAAGCCTTTCGGTGAATACTTTTATCCCACACACAGAGTGAAGTGTCATGACCAAAGCTCACCTTGCACTGGAGAAGTATGGACTGCCCTCCGCTTCAAACCGCTCTACGATTGGCTTCTTCATGGCAGCCTCTTGCTCTGCTGTGAACTGTGAATACAATGTGAAATCAAAGGAATTGGCGCTGCAGGTCTACCAAAGATAATTGCATTAGTTTTAGCTAGGAGGACTGAAAAAACTGGCAACTGAATTCAACAACGTTTACAATGAATAGATTGCTGTAGCTACATGAATTGTGTAACATTTGCACTCCATATCTGTCCTGTCTTCAGGTATGATTCACAAAAGGTAATGCCCTAACGGTATTACATAGTACACATATTCATAAGCGTTGCGGCTGAGTGCGATTTAAAGGCAGCCTGAGCCAGAGGTTTTGTCAAATGAAGGCAATTAAGAGAGAGGAAATGGGAAATGTAAGGTCAGGATTTGGGAAAGGTGGGAAAGGAAAGAAATGTGTTTATCTCTTGTTATATAAAAACCTTACTATTCATTAATACAAAAATCTATTTCTTCCAAAGTGACAGGTGGCGGAGCTTCACTCATTTAATTTTCACTGTCACAACTGTCTTGGCACCCCTGCATCCCTAAATAAACTAGTTTGAGCGTGCAGCACTTATATATGTTATATATGGGATTGCAGGTTCCAATTTGTTCCCTGCAACAGTGTGTGGTTATTAGTGCTAAACTTTCTAAATAGTAATGTTTCTGCAATGAGGCTCACTTGCATAGAAAGGTGACAATTTGGTACCAAATGTTTGTATATTACCTAATTTAAATAGGTGCAAATAGCGTAGAAGCAGGAGTCGCTTTTGGTTTGGCAGCACAGTCAGGGGTTAATTTCACTCTTACTGTAGCTGGTGCTTTGAGAATTACACGGTTTATTTCCATCTTATTTGCACAGGTTTAGCAGCTGCAAAAGCCCGGCAACCCTTTTGTGAATTCACCCCGAGTGTACACCATGTCATCTACACCATGTCAGTTAAAGACACAGTGATGTATACTTATATTTGTCCAATAAAACTTGGGGCAACAAGCTAAGTCTGTAATGTAATTATATTAAGCCACGCTTTGTATTAGCTTGATGATTGTGTTAGTTACAAGAGTGGGGTCATGGGTCAGAGGTGTGTGTTTGGATGTCAGTTGGCTTTAACCTTGAGCGAGGTTGAGCTATAATTTATGAATTCCTCCCTTGTTCACTATCCCCTAACAACATTAGGGAAGTGTGGGCGGAGGCCAACAGTATCTTGCGCATGTATTAACCATGCCAAGGCTATGTCAATTTATGAACTGTGTGTTGATTTTTTCATACCAATGCGGATTACATCTTTAGAAAAAAACACTTGTTCAACTTTAAATAAGAGCAGAATAAAGACTGTTAGAGGAAGACTTCATTTAAATGTTTTAAGGTGCCCTAGTCTGCTCATTTTCAGGTTCATATTTGTATGTTGTGCCTCTACTGTGACATGTTTCCATGCTTTAATGTTCAAAAAGTGCTTTGTTTTTCTCATACTGCCTGTGCTGCAGCACCTCTTTTCACCCTCTGTCTAAAACCAGAGCCCAGTCTGCTCTGATTGGTTAGCTGGCCAGCTCTCTTGTGACTGGTCAACCGCTTAAAGAAGTCCCTCCCCTTAGCCTTTCACGTGCAATTTGTTGGAGTGCTTTGCAGACCATTTACATGCACAAAAACCTATATACTAATACACTACAGGAAAGGGAAAAGCACAATAGGGCAAATAATGTTAATAATAAGTTTCCTTTTCAGTCTTTTTAAATCCACACTGTGGGAAACAATCCTGAACATCAGTGATTGAAATGCATCACCCAAGGCACGTAATATTCTGAAGCTATTAATGCACTCTTAATACACCCATAACAGTGTCTCTGACTAAATGTAATGCAGCCATTTGATGACTGCAATATTCTGTCATCACTCTAACACTTAACATTGATATATCTTTATCCTTGTTTAAGTGCCATGTCAAACCATTACTGAAAGAAAAGTGTCTTCATAATGTTTCTGCTTTTGGCAGCAAATGCAGAAAAGCTCATTTAGGCCTTTCCAGTGAAGCACAGACGGGGAGATGAATGTTACCTCCTTCCCCTCCCGTGCCCTCTGATCCTTGGTGATGGTGGCCAGGACAGTGGCCGCCTGCTCACCGCCCATTACAGAGATTCGGGAATTCGGCCACATGTACAGGAATCGTGGGCTGCGAGAAGAAGAGAAGGGATTGTCACAATTTGTTCACTTTTTGCTGGGCCAGAATAGTCTGCTAAATAATGGATGAAAAACTAAAACAAACAAAACAACATGTTACAACAATGTTATATTCTAGTTATGGTTTAATAATCTCATGACAGCTATGGAAAAACATCATTTACGAGAGCCATTCAAAATACCACTCGGGGAATATCAAAAGATCCAACCTAATGGGAATACCAGCCGTAATTTAAGATGTATGTAAATTGATTGAACAATTATTTCATGTCCTATTGCACACTGCACATGTGAGAAACACTGTGTGAAGTTGTTTGTGGAGTATAAACCATCCCATCATTTTTGCTTCTTATTGTTCTAAAAGGCAAACCTCTCAGAGGATGTCATTTAAACAAATTAGGAACAATGAAGAGGCGAGGAAAGATAGCCAGTGTCAGAAAACTCAAACTCAAATGGACGTTTCTTTACTAGAATGTGTTCAAAGATAAAACCCTCCGTTTCTGTGGTTACAAAAGGTCATTTTCATCTGAAAGGAAAAGTCAAAAGGCTTCTGATGCATATTTGTGCACATAATGAACAGCATGCAGAGCACATTTTGTACAATTTAATTATGCACAGCTAATGATCTTCACATTTATGTAAGGCTGCTGGTCTTGGCCAAACCTTTATGTTTTTGTTCCTTTGTGAAGTCTTTTCTACTTTTCATTAATGTATTCTTACCTGTAGGCTCTGCCGCACATGCCATAGTTTCCTGCACCATAGGAGCCTCCGATGAGAACAGTAATCTTGGGTACATTGGCACAGGCAACTGCAGTAACCATCTTAGCTCCATCCTTTGCGATTCCTCCTGCTTCATACTCTCTACCCACCATGAAGCCTGAGAGAAAGATGTAGAGGAGAGACAGTTTCATTATATTTTCACTTATTTAAGAACTTTAATGATTATGAATAAGATTTAATGTTCACTCGGAATGAAGGTAATGAAGCAAAATAAAGAGAAAGATTAAGAAGAAGAAACAGTGGTGCCAATAATCCATAAATTCAGAAATGAAAACGTCCCACTCACCTGTTATGTTTTGGAGGAAAATAAGAGGAATGTTTCGCTGGCAGCATAACTCGATGAAATGGGTTCCCTGAAAAAGGAATACAAATCTTCAGTGGACCCAATATCTTCCCATTGCAACAATGTAACTTCCTACAGGACAAAACACATTCAAGTTATTTTGCCACCTTAAGATATTAACAGGAAAAGAGCCTTTACCAACAGAAACAGTGTTTTCTAATGAGACAGTGATTCTGTTCAAAAGCACTGGATCATATCTGGAGTTTGTGCTGGAAACTTTTTGAGAAGCTGAAGGCCCAATCAAAGTCAATATAAAAATGGACAATTGCTTCATGCTCATCGAACCATTAACAAAGTGATGGTCCTGTGAAGAATTGGTCTCACCTTTATCTTCATTTGACTTGAGACAGAAATGTATCAACTCTGGAGGTAGAGTCATCTCCCGCCACTCATGCTTTGTTCTTGCTAGATTTTTAGTTTAAATGTGAAAGAGCTGAATGGCCTTCAGCCTCGCCAGAGAAATACATTGAAGAACACAGAGCTGCCAGGAGCCATTGCACAGAAAAACCAAGCACAAAAGACTGTGCAGTGTGCGGAGACACCTCATTTCCATATATTTTGTATTGCTGAATGCAAGGTGTTTACCTCTGCTGGCTCTCTTTCAGTGAAGCATGCTGCCTTGCATTGCAAAGAGTAAACACAAGTTGGAGACGGCCTGAAAGACGGTTGCTTATTATAAACTGTCACTTAGTTTTAGTTCACTCAGTTTGCTCCCAAATGGTCACACAACAACAGAAATGTAATATTTTTCTCTGTTACCTCTCCCTTTCACAAACACCTGGGGAAAAGCTTTTAACAATTTAACAGTTAGCATAATAGAAGCCTGGGCAAATCTTTAGTGATGACAGCGTGTCAGAAATGCAGCAGGTGCTGTATTGATTTTCTTGGATATGCTCTCAGACACAGATGTGGAACCTACGTGCTCAGTCTGAAGCTCTGTGTCAGTATCTTTTGTAAGCAATTACACTGATGAGATAACCAATGCTCTTACTGGCCTATTGAGACCTCACAGGAAAAAGAGAAAAAATAATCAAAGAAATAAATATTTGTTCAGGTCAAGCTTGTTATCTAATTTGAAATGTGTTTGAAAAACGCATTAGGCTATAATCACAAATTCAGCTGCTCATCTTTCCTAAGCCTGGGTAAAGTTCAGCTGTTCACGGCAGACTGGCTTACAAATTAATGGAATTACATTGAATAAAAATCATGATTGTCCCTTGTCCATGCTTTCTAAATGCTATGTTATTACTATGCCATTCGTCAGAGTTCTCCTGAGATGCCCCAGACAAGTGCAATTTGAGAGCTTATTGTGAGAGGGAAACTCGCCTCTGAAAGGTCAGTGGAAGCATCTATGAAGGCTAAAGCTCCCTCAAGAGAGAAATATTGGTAGCAAATCCCTGTGGACAAAACTACCTGAAGTGCTTCAGTATTAAGTTCAAGTCCTTGACATTTAGAGGAACATATTGAAAGTACAATTCTTACCCCTTTGAACATTGAACCCGATCATGAGGCTTAGCTTTCTACAGGTTACACAGGTGTCGGTTTATAATATCACAGGATTGAAACTGTACCATAAACTTAAAGGTTTTTAGTGAAGCCAGGGGCACATTTCAGCTTTTCTAATAACACTGTGGAGATACTGTGAACAGACCTTAGAAACCAATATGTATCCTTTAGAGAACACTCACTTATAAAGGTTTCAGACATCTTAGTGTACACACGATATTTACCTTTTTCGCAGACTCTGAAAACAAGACTCCGTTGTTGCCAATGATTCCCACAGGGTAACCGAATATTCTGGAAAATCCTGCACAGGTACAGAGTTTAATGTTAATATTGCTAAATTCCATGGGAAGAAACATAATTGTAGACGTTCTTTTCTGGGTTGTAGTAATGTCATTTGACATACCTGTAACAAGCGTGTCTCCGTAGAAAGCCTTGAACTCGTCAAATTTACTGCCATCCACAACTCTGGCGATGACCTGCGATGAATGAATAGAGGGAAGCTGTAAAATCCCATAATGCAAAGCCAAAGACAGAAAGCAGATAACACTTGCAATACCAGTTTACCATGTTGTTATAGTGTGTTTATTCCAGAGCCTGAGATATGCCATAGAGAGAATAAATAGAAATTCAGACCATGATTTATAAATGTGTGCCTATGAGATGTAATCCGTGGCCACAATTTAATTCAATTGTTCCCACATTGTTGGCACAACAGACCAGCCTTTCTCTCACCTGCAGTGCACCTGCTTCAAGTATCGGTATCTTCAACTCTGCCTATTGCTAAGGATTTAATCCACAAACTCTCAATGTCCTCAACAAGTTCTGTCAACATGTCTTGATAACTCATCCCCAAGCTAAGGTAAAACCTAATTAAAGAGTCTCTATCCATAGCTGCCTACAACCAAGGACGAGTGCCTTAAGCAGCTGGCTGCTGGGATGAGTGACTTGGCCTTGTAAACTGCCAGATGTATTTAATTTCATTTTGAGTTTTTATTTAATTGGGGTTAACACATTATAAACTGTGCGCACAAATTTGCAAATCGCAGCCTTGATATATATGTGTTTATATACTGTATAAATATGTGTTCCTCCTTCTAGGTAAAAACCAGAAATATTACATATTTATATGTCAACATATCACAAGCTCTCAGTTTATCCATTACCACGGAGGACAATTTATTCAAAATTGGGCCATAAATATATTGATTCTAAAAAAGAGCTCAGAAAGCAGCTGGCCTTTTAGTTTTCAGCAGAAATGACTGAAAAAGAGGTAAACAGAGTATTTTTAGGGGACCATTTTAAACCAAAGACATGGTGGTAGTACGTATGAATAGCACATAGACAGCATGTGGTTCATTAATATAAAATAACATAATGTAATGGCTATGTTCACTGTTCACAACAGTGTGGCTTATTGGTGTTTTTGTAATATCTTTTAGACAATAGAGCTCAATGGCAAACATTTATAAGAAATATCAGGCTTTGACAGACAAAAGTATGATATTTGAATCATGATTGATTTAACTTAAGCGATGCAGGATGCCCAGTGCTGAAAATCCCTTTACAAGTTAAAAGAGGGAGAAGCCCCTTGATCCTGTTTGCTAAATGGACTGCCAATACTGTTCTTAACTACAAACACTTTGACATCTCTACAGTTAACAGTGATTCTTGCTCAAGGGTCTAAATCAAGAATCAAAGGCACAGGCTTTAAACCAAATGAGAACATCTGGCAAGCCGTGCCAGAGAGAGAAAACTAGGTGATTAAAGTGATTGATGCCCGCTGTCCATTATTGACTCCTAACAGAGACCCGACAGCTACAAATTGTTTAGAGTGCATTCTGAACCTTTAAACGTCAGGTTTGCTTGTATTTTGTTGCAAAGTGTGCATATGTTCTCTAAATCTTGTTACTGTCGGTAATACTATAAAAAAAAATTAGATCAATGAAAATGGGCTGCTAAACACACATTTCAGAAAAGGGGCAGAGGTTTATAAAGAGGTTTTAGACTTCAAAAGTGATGCAACATCACCCAATGTAATAAACCTCAACATTATTGTTCAGATCATTTGTGGCAATACTAACAACATTTGTTTTTTGCTCCTTTGAGGCAAAGTGGAGGAAGCCGGACAAATACCTCTCTGACATCAAAGTTGCGTTTCAGGTTTGCTCCAACTATGCCGTAGAGTTCATCAGCCGGGTAGAGAGGGGCCTCCACCGGCTCTGTGGTGACCTGAGAAACAAAAACAGCCTTCACATCAGCAGAGAGCACACACAGCTTGAATTGATGGATGAATGGATTTAAGGTGACTGTAAATAACTCATCATTTGACTGACATCAAGTTTTTTCCTGTAGTTGAGGTTTCTCACTGCTTTTCTTGCTAAATGGAGTGCGTGGTTATCATCCAAAGCATAATGGTCGGTCACACCAGATTTTCTGTAAATAAACAGGAAATTAATTACTGTGACATTATCATTTCAGCACATTAATCAATACTCAACACTACAATACTGATTGGTGCATGTGTTTCATTCATGTAAATTAAGCTAAATAATGATATGCAATCAATACAGTTAAACATGAACACATCATTTTGTGACTCAATGACTCCTGACAGCTTGTATTTAAATGAACAACATCATTTCAAAACCATTTTGACCGGACAAAATAGATAATGAATTACTCTTTTTACCCAACTCTGTCTCCAAAACAAAAGAACATTACCATATTACTAAACTGCACGATCAATAATGTTTTGATAGGTAACACATGTTCTCCCACATTACGGCCATCAGTTTTTAACATGTGTTTTAACGTTATAAGGTGCAATACATTCTTTTTTTACATTTATAATTTCCTAGGTTTAGTAAAAAGATCCTGGTTTAGCTTAAGATAAGGTTGTAATTTATTATAACACTCTAAGTGAAACTACTCCGTGTAAACCCAGCTTGTAAAAAAGGCACCACTGCAAAATATGTCTACACTTGTTTATGTCAGAAATGTTTGTGTATTACAGGGTTTCGTATTCTGATAACAGCTTATTAATGCAAGTTTATGTACAACACTTTTCCAAAAGCAGAACCATGATATCAAACACCCATACATAGTAAGTCATGAAAAATATTGGTATTTCTTACTTGCAGTGAAGATCAGCACCACCAAGATCCTCTGCAGAAACTTCTTCCCCAGTTGCAGCTTTGACCTAAAAAAAAAAAGCACAGACTCTTCAACAAACACAAACAACAAACAAAATATCTGTGGAGTATTTTTAAAACGGCTGCAACCTGGTCGCTTTTTACTGTACAGCTGGAATGAAATTACTACCAAAAAAAGTGATATTAGTAGGATATGCCTTGTGCTTAATTTATGATGTATGCGATTTATGAATCCCGAATCCTCTCGCAGGATTACGAGACAATTTGATGCTTTAACTTTCATCCTAGTTTTATAATCCAACAACAAAAAGATGTCTTACCAGTGGAGGTCCTCCGAGGAAGATGGTTCCTTGCTTCCTCACGATAATGCTCTCATCTGCCATGGCAGGAACATAGGCCCCTCCAGCGGTGCAGGAGCCCATCACAACCGCAATCTAAGGAGTCCAGAAAAAGTCTCATTAACAATCGACAAATGGCAAGACATTAAAGTTTTGCTATCAAATAAATATCAGATTTATCTGAGAGTGCAATAACAGCTCAAAGACAACTTAGCCCTAAGCAAGTTTGTAGCTTCACACTTTGTTTGTACCAGTAGTCATTCAGATTCAGAATTGATTTTACGCTCCACCGTGGATCTTTCCTTACGGGTCCTTTTACTACTGAACTGGTACATTTTGTAAGTCTTGTGGTAAATGTTGTGGTTATACTCAATATAACTTTGAGAGAAGAACCTGAAAGGGAAAAGAACAAATACTACAGAAGGGAAATCCTGAAATAATAAATGACTTTAATAATTTTGAGGGACAATATTATCAAGAATGAATGGGCATTCAGTTTGTTGGAGATATGTGAACATATTCAGGTGCGTGCCAGAACGGACTTCGCTATTGCACCCATCACATTTCTCAGCTCTACACTTCTTTTCGTTTGTTTTTTAAACACAATGATGTTTATTGTTCTAACAGTCAAAAGGAAGCTGAATCGGTTGCCTGCACACAATGAAAAGATGAAATACCTACAGTAGTGCAGCTCATTTCAATGTACCATCTGTGTCCATTATTCAGACAAACCTTTCTGCTTCTTAGAAATGATCCATGAATCAACACAAGGTTACTTCAAACCAAACTAATGTATTTTCCAAAACAAAATCACGCTACAGTAAGAGACAGCTACCAAAGGTTGACAAGCAGATTATTACGCTTTGCTTTGGTCACATCTGCTCTAGGTGCGTTAAATGATTAACATGTGAAATGCAATGTTATCAACCAAACAAAAGCATTTACATGACATTACATTACATTACATTTAGCTGACGCTTTTATCCAAAGCGACTTACAATAAGTGCATTCAACCAAGAAGATACAAACTTGAAGAAAACAGAATCATATAAGTACATCAGGTTTCATAGAGCCAAACCATTTTAAGTGCTACTCAACTGGCTTTAGATAAGCCAGTCCTTTGTTAGTATAGCATCACCTGTGATATTCCCTCTGAAGACAGCCTGGCCTGGTTGTAGAAAATACGTCCGAAGTGATCTCTGTCTGGGAAGACTTCGGCCTGTCTCGGAAGATTGGCTCCTCCCGAATCCACTAAAGGAGTCAAAAACATCGGAATATTTAAAGAACTCAGTAATTCATATTTAAATTGGTTCTTTTTCTTTTTAACAGACACATTGTATTCCTCATAGAATAAACTGGTACATGTATTTTTTCCCTTTTGTAAGTCTATGTTTCTTGTTTTACCAAACCTTTTCAACTTACCTAAGTAAATGCATGGCAGGTTGTTCTGCTGTGCGATCTCTTGTGCACGGAGGTGTTTCTTCACTGTAACTGGGAAGTATGTCCCGCCTTTGACAGTAGCATCATTCGCAACTATAACACATTCCACCCTGTGAGAAAAAAATTGTTATATTGAAATGTGTGCTGCACCTGGAGTACTCCAGGGGAATATCATTGGAAATTATCCAAATAATTCACAAAGATGAAATTAACACCCCATGTAATTATCATAGACTTAACATTTTGAATATTTTGCATCTAGTTAAGAAGGTTTAATATGCATGTAATAGACAGAGTGGCTTCAAATCTGTTTTTAATAGGAAAATCTGCTCATTCACGATGCTTACCCCGAAACACGCCCAATCCCAGTTAGTATACCGCCTGCTGGGACTTCCTCTTTTCCATACAATTCATATGCGGCAAACTGAGAGAACTCCAAGAAAGGGGTCCTGCAAAATAAAACAACAAAACATGCAATGAAGGCTTGCAATTAAAAATGTTCTTTAAGTTGAATTGACAATGTTCTTTTAGATTGAAAGCAGGATGTCTCTGGTGGTGGAGGGTTATATTAGGGGTCTATGGATGACTGTAGGATAACAGAAATGCTTTCCTCACTCCTCTGCTCTCAGAGGAAAGGGAAGATTGAAGTGCTGCACACGTTAGAACTACCTGTGCAATGGTTTGTGTGATGACGTCAGACCAGAGCACATATTTGTGGAATGAGTCAGCCATGGATTTAAAATCAAAGATCAAATTAGAAGATACTGTACCCAGGATCCAGCAGTCTGTCGATACGCTCTCTGGGCAGAAGTTTCCCACGAGAAGTATGAAGTCTTCTGGCTTTTTCTCCCCCACCTGGTTACACCAAAATAAGCAGAATGCTTACAATATGGCAACACTTTGGATAGTCCAGTGGTGTTTATATGTCATGTGTCCAAGTGTAGATAGTAACCTAAACCACAATCTTATACCCTCGACATTTAAAATAAGATATCACCAAGTATGTTTGTACTACTTTACACTCTACTGTATCAGATGTCATGAAACCTAATGTAGTTACACTGCAATGTACTCAATATTAGATACGTACCAGCACTGAAATATCTACTGCAAATGAAATTGTGAGTGGCAATGTTTTCACACAGAGTTGTTACCCCTTTTCATTGAGGCAAGCTAATAAAGAAGCATTTATTACTTTCAGTTTGCACATTCAGATTTGACAGCAGCCTTAATATCAACAGACCGTCCCGGAGCAGTTTTATTAAAAGAGATACAGGTAATGAAATGTGTTTTGTCAACACTTTCATCAACCAGATGGCCTGAACTAATTTGCGCTGATGAAAACACAAACTGATGAATGAAAGTTTAGTGTATGTTTAGCATCATGTTCCCACACCTACCCAATTTAACCTTCTCGGTACGGCTCTTCAGTTCATCAACGAGAACTTTCATCCGCTCATAATTCTCCTGAAAAACAAACAAGTTTATGAAAACATGAGTGATAGATTGAAGGTCGGCTGCTGCTGCATTAAGTGTTGAGGTATAGAGCAACGAAGCATTGAAGACAAAAACACACAAAATCGAATATTTGTTTTGATCCAAATACCACAAAGAAACCTGATACAGTTCATCTGTTATGAATTATGCTGACGTATAAAGACAATTATATACACCATAAAGTGCCTTTAACTGAAAATGGAACAGCTAAAGTCACCTCTTAGACAATTTGAAAGGAAAATGTTTACTATTCTCTCAACAATTAACTTATAGACATGTATAGCTTTGTATATTTTCTGTTACAAAAGCATTTTCCAAACTGGAAAATATAAAGAAATGTGTCTATAGCGCCATCCAGTGACATATTGTGGGATTGCACAGTGAGAATGAATTGGTTGTTGATTACACAAGAGGGGACACTGTGAACCAATATTTACACTGATGCTTCTACTTATTAGATTCACTACATTATAACTTCCATCAAAAACTCTTGAGCATTAAAAGGGTGATACTGTCAATTTCAGAGTTTTCGTTTGTTAATGGCATGTTTTGTCCTTTATGCATTTAATTTCTCCACTTATCGTGTTTATTGCATATACCCAGAGTACCACAGCTCTGCTGGTTGCCACTCAAGCAATGTTAACTTCAACCTTGGATTTACTATACATATAGTCCCAGTTGTGAAAAGTGTCATTCCATACCAAATCATCAGTATATATATTTTTTATAATATATTATATATTAAACTCCAAGACATGAAAGGTTTTGGTTTGGTTGGTATTGCATGAGCAAAAAGTATCATCTGAAGGAATCCTGATTACTTGAGAGTTTACCCGTGGAGCAATGATGCTGAGCTAGTTGAACAAAATAACCTGCAGAATTTGCTACTCGACATACAGTCTTGTCAAACATTTGGAGCGAAGGCTGTGTCTAGCTGCTGAAATGCAGGTACATTTTGAGTAGTAGAAATAAACTGCGTGATTAACTTAGTGTGATGATGCTAAGACCTTAGCAGAGTACCATGGAAGCTCAAGGTTTTGACCTCTTGTAGCCAGTAAACAGTGGCGATATAGCTTATGCTCAGTTTAGGAACTAAGTAAACTAAAGTCTTAATATGTGTTAACTTTAGCCGACCTTACCGTAGTTGTACAACAGCTGTCAGCTATTTATTTTAACAGTTAACGTTGACATTAGCAGCCAGTTTAGTTCAAGCTTGTCTAGCGTACGTTAGCAACAGGCTAGCCTACCTGATATTCAGAGGACTGTGTATCCTGCTGAGACCCGAGTCGAGAAACTGTTTCGGCATAATAAGACCTTGTGCAGGCCAAAGGTAGACTCCTGCAACGATAAAACCACGGCCTAACTGTATGTAAAAGCATTTTGAGGTTCACGTCTATTTAATCGTGCAATTTGTTACTGCTAGCTTGCTAGCTAACCTAGCAGTGATTTTCTTCTGTGGTTGATGTTACTTGAAGTTAAGCTCCATATCGCCACCTGCTGTTTGCATAAATAATACACGTGCTCAACGTCTCTGGTACTCCTTCATTTGTTGCATTAACACTGTTGTTGCCAGAGGTGGAAGAAGTACTCAAGTCAAAGTAGAACTACCAGAGAGTGTAGGAATACGCTGACAAGTAAAAGTCCTGCAATCAAAACTTTACTCAAGTAAAGACACAAGTATTGGCATCAAAATATACTTAAAGTACCAAAACTCAAAGTCCTCATTATGCAAATTGGCCCATTTTATTATAGTATATATTATATGTTTTGAGTATAATTTTCGATGCATTCATGTGTTTATCACAGGATGTAAAGGTGGAGCAATTTTGTATTCCTCTGTATGTTGCAGGGTAGCTTGTGGTTTTACTCAGGCGTGACTAGAGTCTTATGTAAGTGTTGATTATATTTCACATCTTTAATTAAAATATGCATAGTAACTGAAGGTGTTAAATACATGTAGTAGAGAAAATGTTCACAATGAACCTCTGAATTGTAGTGGGGTAGAAGTACAAAGTAACACAACATTTAAATCCTCAAGTAAAGTGAAAGTCTGTCAAAATTGTACTTAAGTACAATACCTGAGTAAAGCTACTTGGGTACTTAACACCATTGTTTGTAGCCTATGAACAAAATCTTAGACAGAAAGCCTTAGCCCAAGGTCCATTTAGGAATGTAATGTATATGGTTGAAGGATCTGAAAAATCTAGTTAAGTGGACCTTGAATTAACATACTATTATTGAGGTCAACAATCAAACATCATGCTTATGTATATCCTCAGCAGACCTAAACAATATAAACACTGCATTGTCTCTTGTACCAATACACATAATGCATACATATATGCACAATAGGGTTTATCATACTAATAAATAAAATATAACTCCATGGATAAGTGTGTGTGTGTGTGTGTGTGTGTGTGTGTGTGTGTGTGTGTGTGTGTGTGTGTGTGTGTGTGTGTGTGTGTGTGTGTGTGTATTATTTTTTTTTATGTCGAGAGATTCCTTTTTTTAGCCAACATGATTGAGGTTTTGAGCGACAGCATTAACCTCAACAACAAAGCTACACGTTTTTCAATCACAATTTTGACTACAGTCACACTGACACAGACCCAGTAGGCTTTGTCTCGTTTATAAAGAGGAAACAAAGTTGGTTTTAAGTGGGAATCAGAGTTAGCCTAAAAGCTTAAAAAAACATAATTCCTGTCACAAGTACTTTGTACGAGCGAGAGTACTTTGGGCAGAGTATTGGCTGGAGAGTATTCAAACCAAGAGCTTTTAGCTATAGATTTTCATTTAGTTTTAAAAGCCTTTCTCCTCCAACGCTTCCACTTATTTTGTCGGCATGCATAGAAATGTCCATGACCTCCACTCAAATGGCTGCTCCTGTTTTCTTAGGAAATATACAATCCTCCACTCTCTGTGGAACTTAAACCCTCTCACTCATCCAGCTCTCTCTACTTTACCGTGACCCTTGCATCAATCTCACTGCTGCAGCGGTGAAGTGACAGAATAGATGTAGAGGCATGAAAAGCCTCTTGAAAGAGAAAAAATATATATTAATAAATAACATGTTTTGATGATTGGGAGTGGAATGCAGGAAAGTGGGTTAAAGCACACAGAGGATGAAAAAGAGAAAGAATAACAGGGTATGATATCCAGCCGTGTTGCTGGTATTGCTTTCACCTTGTGAGTCGGTGTGTGTTTATATTAGTTAATTTTAAACAGCAGAATTCTCAAAGCTTTCTTGATTTCCAGCAAGAACGGATAGTTATTCAACATTGCAGATTATCATCACTCGTGTTTTGAGTAATGGTGGGTATTAAACCTCAATTCCTTGTGGTCAGTCAGTGAAAACTACTGTATGTCTTTTGTGGCTTTAGAGATTGGTGTAAAGTCGGGAGGCTGTGGCGGTGTTCAGATCAGGGGAGCACAGGTTCAAACCCCACTGCAGTCAGCATGTCGTTGTGTCCCTGGGCAAGACACTTCACCCCAAATTGTTCCTGTGGGGATTGGCCAGAATATTGAGTATGTAAGTCGCTTTGGATAAAAGCGTCTAACAAGTGACATGTAATGTAAAGTAATGTCTGAGAGACAGCAGCAGTGTCCTTTTTAAAACATCTCTGGCTTATTAGAGATGCTACCCAATTGCTTTATGGGAAATGTAGAATTACATTTTTTGTGCAACTCGATCCCCACTATATGTAATTAAAGGCAGGAATTATCAGCCTCTCACAACTCCCTTAATGTCTTGGGAGAGCAATATCAAATCTATATAGAAGGCTACCCCTTGAAACTCATTTAAAAAAAATGAATGAAAGAGATGCACATGTTTTACTGAAAGGTACATATTTAACTTTATTTTATGAATCCTAGTTTCACAACATTAATTGCTGTTTGTGTTGAACTGTACACAGAAAAGCTGCTTCTTCCACCCTTTCTCTGAAACAGGTTGCAATGTAAGCTATACTCAAGTGACGCTCAATTACTCACACACAACCACCCACCACACACAGAGATCCTTCCCCTGTTGTATTCAAGCTGAGCTGAAATCTCTCATCCTTCCCTTTTTGGAAAAAGATAATGATGCCATCACAGCTCAAAGAAGTCATTAATGTGTGAAACAGCCATACATGTAAGACATCAAAGCACAGCAGAGTCCACACTCCCGCCCACTAATGGGTAGGCCACCCTACAATATTGTTAATAGCAACACAAATCTCCCTTTGAATCACTTGAAAATATGAATCTCCTTACAAATGTTACTTGTCAATAAAAAATCACCATCAAATGTAATCCAGCGGATAAACAGATGGACAGTAATATCATCCAATATAAAAAGTGAGAAGTGGGAGGAGAAATTCCTCAGTAATTGGTATGAGATCAAATGCAATACAAGGCTTTAAAGAGCGTTATAGCCTCAATATAATCCCATTAAAACACACTGAAGTATGTCCTAAACACATTATACCATAAAATAGTCATGCTTCAAAGGGACAAATCTCTATTCAGATGAATTTCCTTTCATAGATAATCCTCCCAGTGACACATGTTTGCAGAAAATGGGAGCATCATATTTATTTCCTTCATACATTTTGTTTTTGAGGCAGGGACTGATAGCAATAAACTTTCATTGTAGTGTTCCTCTAATTGTGAAAAAATACCACAATTTGCATGTCCGTTTTGTTTTATTTGCTGCATATCTATGTGGGGAAATCCTGTTGGTGAATACTGCACATTATCCTTACATTTATATGACTTTATTATTGTCTTACAGTATACTTTCTCTGATCCTGGGTTGTAAGGTAATGTCCTGTTGATGACAGCAGTTATTACATTTCCTTCAGGCTACTAGAAGCCACCCACTGATGGTTAAATGAAGGTTTAATAGATATTCATTTACATTCAATATTTAGGATTCAGGCAAGGCTAAAGGAATGAAAGTTCCAGACTTTGAAAACCCCTTTTCCAAGGGAATAAATAAGCAGCAAATATATACACTGGGACTTTGTGTATCCCATCAAAACATGACCAATTGTTTTAAGTTCAGCTGAAGTTTTATGATCAATCACAACAGCTACTGGAGAGAAATGGTGTTGGTAACTAATCTCCCTATTTCTGATATTAGATGTTGAGATTTTGTAAAAAGAATCCTAGCAACCACATCTAGTATTGTGTCAGAAGAAAGAGCCCTTTTATAAAGCTATCTAATCTGTCCCTGTCAAAACATCTCCGCTGAAGTGGTTGAACCAAAATGTGTTTTATTTGAAAATGAACTAGAGATTAAATTGCTTTATATGATTTATGTTGATGCTGCTGTCATCTATACTTTATTTATTGATACATTTTCTCTAAAATGAGCTTGTATGGCATGCTGTGTGACAATGCACTCTTTCATTTCAGTGACATTATTCTCTGGTGTTTTTGCACGTTTGTAAAAAGAAATTGCGACGAGTTGTAAAGGAGCCATCTGTGTTCATTTTTGGATTCACTCTTCAGCTTGGCTTAGTGCTAATTCTCAACTGTTAGCATGCTAACATGCTAAACTAGGTGGTCAACATTGTAAATCTTCTGAACATTAACATGATAGCAATGCCTTTACGTTAGCAATTAGCTAAAAGCAGAGCTGTACAGGTCTACTGCCACTTAGCTTTTGTTCAATGCTTTTGTAGACTACTGAGAGGTATATTAAAGAAGAGCTGCACATATGCTACTGAGCTCAGATCTGCAGTAAATATTCACTCTAAAGATAATCACTCTGATGATCCTCTGTGGTGTGCTGTCAGTGCTCTAAAGGTGAATTCATTAAAAGTAATTCTCAAAATGCTCTGAAGTTAGTAAAGTAGGCCTTTTGAAGCTAATGGTTTGTAAAGTGGCACTTTGAAAACATTGTGACAGCAGACTGTGAGGTCGCTAACATAGTTATGAAGGTTTTTTTCGGAGGCAAAACTAAAGACATCGGTGGTCACAAACATGCATCCTTTTAATATTCAAGTCTGCACTGGTGGGAAGTTAATTATATATTTTAAGCTTTATGAGCCAAATCCACCAGAAATGTGATGCAATACCTGGTAGCAGCAGCCATCTTGCTATTGTGTGGCCTGTTTGTTTAATCCATCTTCTATGTCTGTCAGAAAAGTGGGCAATTTGCAAGCAGCAAGTGCTCTTGCTATAAAATGTTGAAGTAGGGTTGGCTCATTCCTACAATGCATCCCCACCTTTTCCTCCTTCTCTCCCACTTTTGGTTGTTTGAAGTGGCAGTTGGAGAGCTGTAACAGGAGTATCATTCACTGTAATGGTGGAGCGTCCTCCTCCACAGCCCTCACTTAGATCACTTAATCCACTTCAACAGTCCAGCGCTGTGCTCTGTGTGTACACATCACATTCACAATAGGAGGTTAGACAAAGACTTGCGCTGACCTGTCAGCTTGCACTAAAATTCCACACTGAACACTTGAA